GGCATTCTCATGCATGCTCCATCCTCATCTTCAGCAGCCAGCACAGAGTTCCAATACTGATGGTACTGGAACGCCTTCAGGTGAATGGGGATTAAGAAGCTAGACCTATATTTAACAGACCAATTGTCACTTGGTGGGTGATGTGGTCAACATCATGCCGGCCGCCTTTACTTCCCAGGACTATACCTGGTTTCCGCTCAAGGGTGGATCAACCTGCGAGTCAAGGTCACTATTGAAAAAAAAAAACAGTCTGGTTAAGTCAGGACCCAACTCCAGGACCTTCCTATCCACAGGCGAGCATCTAGCTGCTACACCATGGCAGCTCCCTACTGAGTAATGATCATCTAGCTGCTACACCACGACAGCTCCCTACTGAGTAATGAGCATCTAGCTGCTACACCATGGCAGCTCCCTACTGAGTAATGATCATCTAGCTGCTACACCACGACAGCTCCCTACTGAGTAATGATCATCTAGCTGCTACACCATGGCAGCTCCCTACTGAGTAATGAGCATCTATCTAGCTGCTACACCAAAGCAGCCCCCTACTGAGTAATGAGCATCTATCTAGCTGCTACACCATGGCAGCCCCCTACTGAGTAATGAGCATCTATCTAGCTGCTACACCATGGCAGCTCCCTACTGAGTAATAAGCATCTATCTAGCTGCTACACCATGGCAGCTCCCTACTGGGTAATGAGCATCTAGCTGCTACACCATGGCAGCTCCCTACTGAGTAATGAGCATCTAGCTGCTACACCATGGCAGCTCCCTACTGGGTAATAAGCATCTAGCTGCTACACCATGGCAGCTCCCTACTGAGTAATGAGCATCTAGCTGCTACACCATGGCAGCTCCCTACTGAGTAATGAGCATCTAGCTGCTACACCATGGCAGCTCCCTACTGAGTAATGAGCATCTAGCTGCTACACCATTCCAGCTCCCTACTGAGTAATGAGCATCTAGCTGCTACACCATGGCAGCTCCCTACTGAGTAATGATCATCTAGCTGCTACACCAGGGCAGCTCCCTACTGAGTTTTGATCATCTAGCTGCTACACCATGGCAGCTCCCTACTGAGTAATGATCATCTAGCTGCTACACCAGAGCAGCTCCCTACTGAGTAATGATCATCTAGCTGCTACACCAGGGCAGCTCCCTACTGAGTAATGATCATCTAGCTGCTACACCATGGCAGCTCCCTACTGAGTAATGGGCATCTAGCTGCTACACCAGGGCAGCTCCCTACTGAGTAATGATCATCTAGCTGCTACACCATGGCAGCTCCCTACTGAGTAATGATCATCTAGCTGCTACACCAGGGCAGCTCCCTACTGAGTAATGATCATCTAGCTGCTACACCAGGGCAGCTCCCTACTGAGTAATGATCATCTAGCTGCTACACCATGGCAGCTCCCTACTGAGTAATGATCATCTAGCTGCTACACCAGGGCAGCTCCCTACTGAGTAATGATCATCTAGCTGCTACACCACAGCAGCTCCCTACTGAGTAATGAGCATCTAGCTGCTACACCACAGCAGCTCCCTACTGAGTAATGAGCATCTAGCTGCTACACCACAGCAGCTCCCTACTGAGTAATGAGCATCTAGCTGCTACACTACAGCAGCTCCCTACTGAGTAATGAGCATCTAGCTGCTACACCACGGCAGCTCCCTACTGAGTAATGAGCATCTAGCTGCTACACCACAGCAGCTCCCTACTGAGTAATGATCATCTAGCTGCTACACCACGGCAGCTCCCTACTGAGTAATGAGCATCTAGCTGCTACACCATGGCAGCTCCCTACTGTGTAATGAACATCTAGCTGCTACACCACGGCAGCTCCCTACTGAGTAATGATCATCTAGCTGCTACACCACGGCAGCTCCCTACTGAGTAATGAACATCTAGCTGCTACACCATGGCAGCTCCCTACTGAGTAATGATCATCTAGCTGCTACACCAGGGCAGCTCCCTACTGAGTAATGGGCATCTAGCTGCTACACCACGACAGCTCCCTACTGAGTAATGAGCATCTAGCTGCTACACCACGGCAGCTCCCTACTAACTGCTTGTGTTAAAAAGTGTGAAGGAAACAAATATGTTCTAATTGTTATGAGAAATATGTCGACACACACTGGTAGCATAATCAAATTCAAAATAATATCATTATTAAAGAAGCCACAGCTATCAAAATTAACCACTGATTACGAAACATAACATTTTCAAACAAATTTATCATTCGCCCTTTCGGTCTTTCCTCTGTTACCCTGGGGAGTAAACATTGTTTTATTATTACATTCTGCAGGCTTGCTCACTCTACTTACAACTACAAAGAGAAACCTGACCTCAAGTGCAAAGTGTGCAGAGCCAGCTATGGCGAACCATGAAGGACCTGCAACTGACATGGGAATTTATAGAGGCAGCCCACAGGATGATCTGACCTGAGCAGATGAAACTGAACGCAAAGACATTTTATTAATGTTAATTCCCCAATTTGTGGGTTGAGGGACTTTATTCTGGAGAGCACAGAATAGACTCACTGCACCCCCCCCCCCCCCCCCCCCCTTTTTCCCCTTTCCTTCCTTATAAGCATGTCATAGAAGGCGACTCATTAGGGGTGTTTCCTTCATCAAAGTTGGAGTGCATCTGCCTCAAAGGCAAGAAACCAGCACTCTGTATATATAAAAAAAAAAAGCCGGATCTGCAATACAGATGTGCACATAAAACTCAAGTTCTGGATCAGGGCTTAAGTCCAGAAATAAATGAACAACAAGAGCTTTTCACTGGAGTTTACAGCCAGTGAAGAAGAAGAAAAACTGCCTCATTTGGGCACCAGCTATGATCTTCAGGGACTGAAAGCGCAAAGATCTCAATAAAAATAATTTTATGCAGCTGCATTAAAAGTAGCTTTCAATTTTGACCTCTTGTAGTAGTAAATCACAAGTGTGCCGTTTGGCATTTTGTAAAGTGACAAATAATAACCCTGAAAATACACTTAGGTGAGAATCCCAAAAAAATGCACTTAGATTACCTCAGCCTAGTACTAACGATATACTGGATTATTCAAAATGATGGATAAAAGTTCATTCATGTATATTTCCTTGAATATACATTCATTCATTGATGATTCTGTTGTGCCATCAGATGTCACATAGGGCTCGCAGTCAATTCCTCCATTCTGTTCTATACTTTGCAATCAGTTCAATATCATGGATGGAATTCAGTCTAGCAGTTTTGGCCTCCATCTTCAATGTTCATCTTAGGGTTTCATTCGGGCGTCCTCACCTCCTTAATCCCTTTATTTCCTATTTTAATGCCTGTTTGGTGATTCTCTGCTGGTTTCATCTCAGGATGTGTCCAGTAGAGTGTCATCTTTTCTGTCTTATAACTGTTGATACTAGTGGTTGTTCAGATATTTTCTTATTTCTTTCCTCCTTTTGAATTCCATTTTATTTTCACCATTTTACTCAGACATTCGTTTTACATTTAGCTTTCCTCCACATGTTTAGTGGTTCTTGAACTTTTAACTGCATATGTTAAAATTGTCATAACATTAGAACTGAAAACATATAACTTTGTTTTAAAACTATACAATTTAGAGTTCCATATTTAGTTCAAGCTATTCAAAGCTGCTGATGCCTTGCCAATGAGGGTCATTATTTCTTTCTTTGTATTTCCTTTACTGGTAAAATTACAACTTAAATAAGTAAATTGGCCTGTTACTTTAACTACTTTTGTCTCTAATGTTACATCTGCTTGATCTGTTGTTGGTGTCTTTAATATATTTGTCTTTTAATAACTTATTTGTAGTCCAACCCTCGATGCTATATTTGCTAAATCATCTGTTTCCTTTGCATGTGATTGCTGTTTTAATTAGCAGAACATCAGCAAAGCCAAGCTCTTCCAACTGTATGTTCTCCCCCCAGTCAATGCTGGTGTTTCCGAAACATTTTTTTTTCATTGCCGAGTCACAGTCAATGCTTATGACAAATAACAAGAGAGATAAAATGCATCCCTGTTTCACTCCAGTATCAACTTCAAACCAATCACTTAAACCATCATCTGTTCACAGTGCTACACTCTGAACCTTCATATATTGCCTTTATAATATTTATGATTCCCCTGTGGGTTCCAGGGGCCCTATTATAGGGGAAAAAAGAAAAAACCCACTGCCTACCCAAAAGCATGTCATAAGAGTCGACTTATTGGGAGCTTCCTTCGGAGTTGGAGTGCATCTACCTGAAAGGCAAGGAACCAGCAGTCTGCATACAAATAAGTCAGATTGGTAAATAGGATGCACATGCAACACTTAGGTTCTGGAACAGGACTGCAGTCCAGAAGTGGATGAACAACCAGAACTTTCTGCCAGAGTTTACAGCTGGTGAACCCAAAGAAGAAGAAAAAGAATATTTATCATTCTCACTGGTAAACCACAGCATTTCAAAATTACCCATAGTGATGTTCTATTATACTATCAAAAGCCTTCTTAAAGACAATGCAATTCGAAATAAGGGATTGTTGTTTTTCAATAAATTCCTCAAAAATAAGTATCAGAATATATATTACATACTAATAAGATATGTACAAGAGAGAGAGAGAGAAAGAAAGTTTACAAACTCATAATAGAAGTTACATTTTTCAATACGACCACCGCCTGCTGTTTGGCAAACATCTAAGTGGTAGCCGAACTCACCCCACACAAAAAGAAACTTATTGTGCGTAACTTTCATTGCAGCTGTGATATGATTGTGCAGGTTGCAACTGTGCTCTAGCCAGTAGTAATGAAAACTTTAGAGCTTACCCTCTCTCTCTCCTATGTATATTATTCATAATCAATTTATATTCAAGGCAATATACATGAATGAAAGCTTATCCATCATTTTGAATAACCCTGTATCTAAATGTAGCGTGACTACAATGGGGGGAAAAAAGGGGTGGCGTGGGAGGGGCATTCTGTATGTTGTTAAATACAATCACTTTCTTACAGAGTACTACATCACAGTGGCGCAGGAAACAGAATATGGACTTCCTGTAGCAGTTGCTGCCCCTTTTCCCCAGCTTTGTGACAATAGTGTTCTGCAGCTGGTCCAAGGCCGAGGTTTATCAGGTAGCGGGCATACTCCAGATAGACCGCCTCATATAGAGAACCTAGGGACAGTTGAAATAATTGTGACTACTATTGTATCTAATAATCATATACAAATGAAGAATGCAATAATGTCTCCCAAGTTGTTCCCAAACACGTGGCTACCCGCACGTTGAGTGCGTCTACGCCACTTAAACTCGCATATGTAGGAGTCTATTAAATGTTCGTAGGTCCCAATCTGGCGCGCGTTTCTCTTCCTTGCGTGCGATGCATTGCGTATGCGCACCTGTGGTGGGGTCGACATAACTGATGGAGTGACTGACAATGAGATGTGTCAATCCAGGAATATTCTCAAATCCATGGTACACACGCCACAGGTCGGAGATTACTGTCCTGTGCCGGGTGTGAGGTTTGTGCTAATGATCAGCAGAAGCATCTCTGCTTTTCTGTCTGGAATGCAGAACATAAAGCATTCGCCCGTCTCGCGACAAACCCAACTCAATACCCACTGTTGTGGAAACACACGTCCCACATGGTTATTCTGCCTTGCAAACAGACTTTCATCAATATAAATAGTGGCTTTCTCTCCGCCGATCACTGCAGGATTCAGTATTAACAGACCAGCAGTATAGAAACAGAATGGTCTGTCTGTACAGAAGCCGTGACCCTTCCAGCCATGTCCCTTGTCGTAACGGTATGTCCAGACGACAGCTTGACTTTCGACACCATCATCGGTCTTGTCTTTCCATCAGTGATAACATTCTCTCATGAATATTCACACAACATCTGGTGCTGTGCAAAATGCAATAATGTTGCAGGAACGCAACACTGGTCTGCTTGTCAGGCACAGATGCTGCTAATTCAAGGAAATTCATTGCGATGATGACTGGAACAAGACGCCGCAAACACAAGTCGCTTGAAGTCGCTGGAGAGAAGAAGCGCACCAAGCCTTGACACATAATGTGCACCAAAGCCTTGGTAACATTCTGAAACCTTGGCAAAGCAGGATTACAGCTGGAAACACACTAAAAAAGATTACACACAATAAAAGCCCTATTTTACCACCCTAAATATTATTTGACTGTCCTGTGAGGTAATTGGGGTGAATAAAGAAGAAAACACCAAAGAAGAAAATCACAATGAAATAATCTGAATATAAGCTATATTTTGATGAAACAGGATTATAAATGGACTTGAAGTTTGCATGTTTGAGGCCTATCCATTCAGGCAAATTCTGCATCTAGGTCTTTCTTGGTCTGCCTCTTCTCCTCTTCCCCTTTACAGAAGTTAGAGGTAATAAACAGACAGACAAGACAAAGACACATCAAGAGACAGCCTGAAGAATGTTGCTTCTTCTTCTTTATAGTGCTCAGGGGCTGTAAACTATGGTTGTTTGTCCACTTCTGACTCAAGTCTTGTTTCAGAACTAGAATTTTGTGTGCAGATCCATTTTGCAGATATGCTTTTTATGTATACAGATCTGCTTTTTATGTACACAGACTGTTGGTTCCTCATTTCTCAGGCAGATGCACTCTGACTTTGGAGAAAAAAAAAGCACTAATTATACGTAGCTGCCTGTAATGACACGCTTGAGTCTGTTCCTTTTCACATCCCAAAAATAGGGTCCCGTAACCCACACATATGAGAATGTTCACTGAAGGTAGAACTAAAAGCTCTAGAGATATATCATGCCAAGCAGTTTGCCGTTCAGTGCAGCAGCACAAACAAATCAACATGGTCTGAAGAGAATGGTGCAGCTGCCAGTGACCACCAGGAGACCTGGCCAACACTCATAGGAAAGGCGAGATGGACACACACTCAGACTGCTGCTGGTACCACCAGAACTGGGACTCTCTGCTGGCTGCTGAGATGGGGACGGAGCGTTAATTTTAATATCTCCAGTGCTGTGATGTCGTATTTGCTACACATGGACACATAATGCTGGCCTATATGTTTGTATACTGATGTAAGCTCTATCAACTATTTGCATTGTGACTACACAGGCAAGGGTAAAATGTCAATGCTTTGTACTACAATGACTTTCTTTAATGAACTACATGAGACATTAGGCTGCAAACATACTCTGTATGTGATGAACAATGTCAGATGGCATTGTCTTCTCGTGTGGGCTCCATGGCCCCATTTGGGAAAAGAGAAGGGTTAACAGTTCTATAACCCTGTAACAAGCATGTCATAAAAAAAAAAAAACCTACCAATCAGATGTGTGCTGAAATTGGTAAAAGGTGCACATATGGCAGCCCAGCTGTAAACCACAACACAATGTTCCAACCAACTTTTTTAACTCTTTGCGTACCAAGGAACGCAAAAGACACTGATTTATAACTTTGTAACTGTCCTCTAGTACTGAAAGTGTTAACACTGAACACAGAAGAAAAAGACGACATGGAACATAGAAGGAAAAAAGATCAGAAAAATCAGTAAATACACTATACCATTCTTACCTGTGTTCTCAGTGTGTTTCAACAGGCCAAATTCCAAGCAGGCTTCCAAGAACAAGGCTGCTCTATCAAAATTTCTCATACTGTACAACACCTCCAGCACTTTTTGAAACTGGCCCAGGCTCAACAGAACCAGCACTGACTTGCTCTGAGAAAATATATTTGGAACTAAACAATGAACAAAAAACTTGCAAAGCAGAGACTGTGTTTCCTCGAAAATAAGACCTACCCCAAAAACAAAACCTAGCACGATTTTCAGGATGATTATAATATAAGCCCTACGCCCAGCTGGGGGTAGCTGGGCTACTGTATGTCCACCTTTGATCAATTTCAGTACACATCTGATAAGTGTTTTTTTTTTTTTTAAATGACATGTTTGTTACAGGGCGATGGAGCTGTTAACCCTTTTCCTTTCTCAAATAGGGCCGTGGAGCCAACACGAGGAGGCTAGCTGCAGAATGGCCAGTTGGAGTATATTTGTTACTGGGACCAATGGTTCTACAGGAGATGGAGTTGCAAGAAATTCAGGCTGGACATTAGGGATTTTGAGAGTTATGACGATGTTCCAGAAGATGATGAGATGACTGTATTTGAATAAATGTAGAATTCTGTACATGAATAAATGTAGACTTGTATCTAGGAAAAAAACACATTCCCCTACAAAAAGCCAGAGTGCATTTTTTTTAAAGCAAAAATTAATTTAATGCCCGGTCTTATTTTGGAGAAATACAGCAGAAGTAAAGTCAATTCTATGGCAGACAACAACGTAGGAAAATTCTTAACATTATCTGGTACCCAGTTTACGAGCACACTTAGTAGTCCAGGTAATTTACATCAGGGTGAAGGTTGGTGGGTGAAGTGTATTTACTCCCAATCTCATACTGGCAGCTGTCGTGAGTTCACTTAGGGTCTCATGCTGGTAGATGAGGTGGGTTCACTTCAGGATATAAATTTGTAGGACAAGTTAGTTCATATCAGGATGAATGTTAGCAGGTGATGTTTATTTACTCCAAATCTCACATTGCTAGCTGTGGTGAGTTCACTTAAGGTCTGGTGTTAGTAGATGATGTGAACTCACTTCAAGATTCAAGCTGGTAGGTCAAGTAATCTCACTTCAGGACTAATGTTGGTATTTGAAGTGTATTCACTATAAGTCTCATGTAAATAGGTATGGTGAGTTCACTTCAGGTCTCATGTGAGCAGGTCATGTAAGTTCACTGCAGGAATTACGTTAGCAGGTCGAGTAAGTTCACTTCAGGGCTCAAGTTGGTAGATGAGTGAGTTCACTTGAGATCTGAGGCTGATAGGTATAGTTAGCTGTCTCCAGGACTCATGTCTGTAAGTGAAATAATTTCACTAACGCACTCGAGATGACACATAGAGTTCCCTCACCACAATGCTAGTTGTTCATTTAATGATCATCTTCATCACACTTCGGACAAAATGCTAAAAATACTACATGCTAAATGCTAAAAAAAAAAACAACCTGGTATTTAAAAACAGCATGGCAATAAATAACATATAATCTCAGTGAAATTATTTTCCTACTTCTATTGCTGATTTGTTCTTGCTCACTTGCATTGTACACCACAATATAACACAATCATCTGAAAAGGTGCCAAAGAGGCAGCCTTTTAATCAGCAACAAAATGAGATATACGGCACATCAATGCAAACACAAATGACTGAAGGACAGTTTCCACACACATCTATGTCTTACCTTCTGATTGACTTGAGGGCTACTCAGGTGCTCAGCCCATCTTTTCAGCACTTCTGCACAGTCGTTTGGTTCTAAACTTGCCTGGTATGTGATGTTAACATATGTCATGTTATACTATCTGTTACAGCTTTTCATGTATACAGTTAACATCACAGACACATTATTAAAAAGATAACAAACTATTGTGGCATATACTGCTACAGATGTCATCTGCACCCAAAAATAAATATATAATGTGTCATTTAGTAGTCTGGATATTAGCTTCCAATCTGCATTCTTCTTCTTCAAGTCCAAACGTTCCAATGTTCTTTGTCATGTTATATTTTGATGTCATGAGTTCCAGGGCCCTATTTTTATGAAACAAAGAACCACTGCCCTTTTAACAAAGTTAGTTGTGTATCCTTTACAGGACGTTGCAGAACCAACCCTAGCTATTTTTGGCTGTTGTGGTTTTTCCAGGCAAATTTTACGTTCAGTAGTTTGCCATTGCTTCTGGAAGGTCAGGTCTTGGTACCACTGTTGAAACCAACACAAAACAAACTGTCCGCAGCTGGGATCGAACCCGGCACCCTGCCATTACAAAGTACGTTTGCAACGCCTAAGCTACAGACACTGTCAATTCAAACAAGCATGTTGTAAAAGTCAACTAATTTGGGGTGTTTCCTTCTAAATCGGAGTGCATTTGCCTGAGAGGCAGTTAACTAACAGTCTGCACACAAACAAGCAAAATCCCTAGAACAGACGTGCACACAAAACTGGAACAAGACTTCAGAAGTAAGCAAACAACCAGAACTTTCTGCTGGAGTTTACAGCCGGTGTATGCGAAGAATAGGAAGAATATGTTGACAATGTTTATGCTGTTTGTTTTTCACAACGATAAAGACTGCATTTAGAAAATCAAATGATTATAAGTATGAGGACAAAGGAGCCACCTAGTGTAGCAGCTAGACACTGCCTGCAGATCAGATGGTTGTGGATTTAAATTCGAACAGAGCTGAACTTTTTCAAAAATGACCTTGGCTCCCAGGTTTTTCAAGCCTGAAATGGATACCATGTATAGTCTTAGAAAGTAACGATGGCCGGTTTAATTTTGACCACATCACCTATCAAATGTCATTAGGTCTATAAAATATAGGTCTAGCCCTATATACCCAATAGACCTCAAGGTGTAGAGAAGGATCCTTTGCTTACTATATTCCAATACACCTGAAGGCGTGGGAAAGGGGTTCTTTATAGGCATGAAGATGGATGATGAGTCATCCGGAAAGTTATGAGTTCTTCAGCAGTGCCAACAACAGCTAGAAGAGACTTAGACATGGGATTTGCAAAATGTTTCTTTCCAGCCAGCCTCCATTTCTCTGTCACAGCTACCTCTGCTGCCTGACAGGTGAAAGCATCGCGGTGAAGTGGCTAAGCAGTTTTCTTTGCACTGTGAAGGTTGTGGATCTGACTTTAAATTTGACTGTTTCAATTGCTGGAGCTATTGAGCTTATATTAATAGTTTTTGTATCAATATTGTTACAGAAATAGTGGAAAATATTGAAACTGATGGTCACATTAATGGAAAAAGAAAGAAAGGAGGACAGCAATAGGATTGCGTGTATTATGGAAAGGAACAATATGTATATATACATGCATATCTAGTAAATATACATGCATATTTAGTAACTAGCCAAAGAATGCCTTGAAAAACCCGATTTTGAACACCAAATATTTAAAAAATAATAAAAGTGCATCCGCTTGAGAGGCAAGAAAACAACAGTCTGCATGTAAATAAGCCAGATCTGTAAAATGGGTGTGTACACAAAACTTAAGTTATAGAACAGGACAAGTCTAAAAGTGGACAAACAACCAGAACCTTCCGCCAGAGTTTATAGCAAATGAATGTGAAGAAGAAGAAAAAGAAGAAGAAGAAGAAGAAGAAGAAGAAGAAGAAGAAGAAGAAGAAGAAGAAAAGAAAAAGAAGAAGAAGAAGAAGAAAAAAGACAGAGGACTGAAACCAGTCATACAATTAATTAAAGAGCAACAGATAAGATGGTTTGGCCATGTGATGAGAATGCCCTGGTACTAGCAGCCGCAGAGTCACCATGAAGAAATACAGTGAACACAGAGCAAGGGGAACACCATGCAAAATATGGAACAATGACATCAAGAACAGCCCTAAAGAAATGAAGATCAACTCTTATGCAACACATCAGAGAGAAAATCTTTACATCTCCCTCAAAAACTTTGATGAGGTAACTGGAGAAAGAGGAGAAGGACCATCTGATAATAATGTGATAAACTGACCTTAGCCAGCCACACGGCATGATCCCAAGCTCCGTAAGTCTGCAGATACCGACAGGCATCCAGGCTCTTGTTGATGAGACACAGCAACTGAACACCTTCTGTTGACAATACCATTTTATATAAATAAAAACATGTGCATGTGATGAAATGTGTTTGTTCCACATCATACATGCTTTCAGACTGTTTAAAATATAGGAAGCAACTTCCACCAGTTTTATGATAATTAACTATTTCAATACCAGAAAGATTTACGAAGAAATGCAGATTTTTTAGCAGATATGGAAACAATTACTGGTCTCCATAATCTGGAAGATAGGAGAGACACAAAGATCCTCACCCAGCTCTCCAAATACCACCACTTTCAAGAACAACCCATGTACAGCCGACTGCAGAAACCCCAGAAGGCTAGACTAAAGAGAACTTGCTTTATTAAGAACGCAAATGCCAAGCTCGCTGTCCTTAAACTCCCTCCCATAATACCAAATGTTCCACTTAAACCTTACAACGACTGCCCCGCTTGGCTTAGGGATAGCCTACCAACAGTCAGAACCACTGTAACAGGGGTCTCCTCCAAATCATCAATGAGCAGCACTGATATGAAATCAACTACAGAACGAGAGATCAATAGACTTTACCCACACCAGAGTTGGATTCGAGTGTATACAGATGGTTCAGCCAAGAGAGCAGTAAGAGACGGAGGAGGAGGAATATACATAGAATGCCCAAATGGTTTTAAAATCAACCAGGCTGTACCAACAGGTTCATATTCCTCCAATTACAGAGCAGAGGCAGAAGCACTTCTAGCCGCATGTTCTTTCCTGAATGGACAACAGCACAGCAAATATAGCAGAGTGGTCTTTCTGACTGATGCTATGTCAGTTCTACAAGCAATTGTTAACCCAAAAGACACTCAGTTTGTAGACTTGACGCAACAGCTTATTTACTTAGGCTCTTCAGTAGAACAATCTGTTCTGTAGTGGATTCCAGGTCACTGTGGCTTGGAAGGCAATGAAATAGCAGACAGATTGGCCAGAAGCGGCAGTGACATGGTACAACCAAATAGCGACTTAACCCACCAAGAGATGAAAACACTAATACAATCTAGTATCCAAGAAAGGTGGCTGGATACCCACAACAGATTTTCTCCCCAAGACTCACTTCATCGCCTCTCTAGAGAGGGACAGTCTATTATATTCAGACTAAGGACAGGGCACAACAGATTTCGTCAACATATGTTCAAATTTTTCGGTGTAGGAAATACGGAGACGTGTCCCTGCAGCGTGGCACCCGAAAATGCTGAGCATGTGCTCCAACACTGTCAACTGTATGCTGACAACAGAGACGCAATCTGGCCTGTTCCAACCACAATGAAGACAAAACTGTATGGTACACGAGAGGATATGGATTGCACGATAGCTTTCATAAAGGCTACCGGCCTCCTGATATAAGTTTTCTGACAGAAGGATCGAAGAAGAAGAAGAAGATGGAATCTTTTCACACCACTGACAGATTAGGCACATGGTATTAATACCTATATTCAAAATTGCTTTATTCTGTATCTATTTGACATTAAACAACAGCATTACATGAAAAAAAAATTACGTTTCATAAAATCTTGTGGATATGTGACCCATGATGGTTGAAGAGTTAATTATTCTTTTACAATGGTGCAGTTAAGGTTTATAATGACTAATAAACCGCAAATGTTTATTAACTGATACCTGCAGAGAATACAGGAATGAAGTGGTATGATGGAATCATTAATGTAAAGCTAAAACCATGCTGGCAAAGGATGGGATACCCAGTGAGAAAACCTGATAACAATATCACTAGAATGTCATTGCTGTGGAACCCACAGGATCAAAGCATTACAGGCATACCCACACACAAAAAAGGCACAGAGAAGGGAACTGGTCTAATTAAAAGATGGGGAGGACATGGAATGAGCTGCCTGCGACAGAAAAATGATAGGATGAGTTGGCTGAGGGTTTCTGCACCACTGAGGGATATGGGGCAGAGGAGAAGGAGTTAATAAATATTATTGGAAAATGGAGCAAAGTCTGTGTATTTTATCATACTTTGGTATTATTGTCTCCACATGTGGTGGACACCGTGGACAGGTAGAGTGACTCACAATGGCTGCCCGAAAATGGCTAATGAAATCAGAAACCTATATACAACTATAAGAAAGAGGCAGCCAGTGTTCTTTGTTAATGTGATGAGGAGAGAGTCATTGGAGAACATCCAGATGTCTAGAAAGATCAATGGTAACAGAGGAAGAACAACAGGGATAACGCATGACAGCCTTGAAGCGATGGCATGGTGGAATATCATCAGTGAAACTAATTCAAAACAGCCTAGACCGATTTCTGTGTAGAGACACAAGCACCTAAGCCACTGGGCAGAACACAGATGATGATGATGATGATGATGATGACGATGAATACTGTGTGTAAATAATATAACTCCAGAACCAAAAATACCTGTGAGACGCCCACTGGCAATAAGGTTTGTGGCTACCAGCTTGATGGTACTTTGAGATGCCCCAGAGGATTTGACACTGGCCACTAGACAAGCTCTGTTCAAGAAGTGTTTAGAACAGCAATAATAAGTCATTGTTACAACTGTAAAAAATAATAAGTACTACCTGTATACATAACAAGTACAAATAAAGCAACCCTTTTGCACCAGTGGCATATGATACTACAGTTTTTGCATAAGTTGATCAGAACTGCAGAGAAATTGAGACAGTAAAGTGACATGATCATACTACTTCAATACCAATCTGTGGACTGATGATGATGAGAAATTCAGGTCTGTTCTTTATCTTTTACTACCCTTTATCTCGCAATGTGACAACCAGTATAGTAGTTATCTTATTTTGACTCTGTCTACATGGCAAATTTGAGACATATCAATGTATAACTGTATCATTCAGACCTTCTCCCAGGACTTTTTTTTAAGACAATCAGTAAAGTAATTAAATGATTCTGATTTGATGTAAATGACCTACAAGAGACAATCAATACAGTAATTAAATGATTCTGTCTAATCTACCGACTTACTTAGGATAATCTGTATAGTAATTAAATTATTCTGACTTCATCTAAATGACCTATTATTCTGTCTAATCTACCCGATATACTTGAAACAATCAATGTGGTAGTTATATGATTCTGTCTAATCTACCCGATTTACTTGAAACAATCAATGTGGTAGTTATCTGATTCTGTTTAATCTACCCAATTTACTTAAGACAACTATTGTAGAAGTTAGGTAATTTTGTCTAATCTACCCGATTTACTATGTAGTAGTTGTCTGATTCTGTCTAATCTACCCGACGCACTTCAGACAATCAATGTAATAGTTAACTGATTCTGTCTAATCTACTTGACTCACTTCAGACAATCAATGTAGTAGTTATCTGATTCTGTCTTATCTACCCGACGCACTTCAATGTAATAGTTAACTGATTCTGTCTAATCTACTTGACTCACTTCAGACAATCAATGTAATAGTTAACTGATTCTGTCTAATCTACCTGACTCACTTCAGACAATCAATGTGGTAGTTATCTGACCGTACAATCTACTCGACTTACTTCAGACAATCAATGTAGTAGTTAACTGATTCTGTCTAATCTACATGACTCACTTCAGACAATCAATGTAGTAGTTATCTGACTCTGACTAATCTACTTGACTCACTTCAGACAATCAATGTAGTAGTTATCTGACTCTGACTAATCTACTCGACTCACTTCAGACAATCAATGTAGTAGTTATCTGACTCTGACTAATCTACTTGACTCACTTCAGACAATCAATATAGTAGTTATCTGACTGTACAATCCACTCGACTCACTTCAGACAATCAATATAGTAGTTATCTGACTGTACAATCCACTCGACTCACTTCAGACAATCAATGTAGTAGTTATCTGACTCTGACTAATCTACCTGACTCACTTCAGACAATCAATGTAGTAGTTATCTGACTCTGATTCAGTCTCCAGGAGCAGCTGTACTGCCCTGTCGCTCTGACCCAGCTGCACATAGCTGTCTGCACATTTCTGCGTATGCTCCACTGTTGCCCGCTTGTTGTCTTGAAGATGTACGCGGTCAAGCTGGTATTTCTATGAGACATATGAGAAAATATGCTGGTTTTGAGAGGCCTTCTACGATCATCATAGACCTCGTAAGCAACACTGAATTTTTGTTTAACCCTTTCGCCTCGCGAGAGATAAAAAAAAAACTGTGCAATCTGTAATGATTCTAAGACTGGCAATGCAAGTGAAAATTGATTTTGGAAATCACTGCAAATATATTATAATTAAACATTAAAAACTGTAATTAATACTGCTTTGTAATTATGAGAGAGATTTACATGTAATGATGACGTAAATATACTGTAGACCTACACAAATATGTAAATAAAATTGTTCATAGAAATTTACCTTTGGATTTAAAAAAAAACAGCTATTTATTGGGAGGGGGTCACCTTCTATTATGACATAAAGTAGTGTCACTTATGGTGATTTATGTCCCGATAATTCATCAGCATTTGCAGACAACTTGCCAGCACTTTTTTTTTAAACAAGAAGTTATCCAATAAAAATTTTTTTTAAAACTTTTACGCAAGTGTCTAACAACATTGTCGAGAAATGATTTGAGATGCACAATAATTATAGTGATTTGTGGGTCTATTTCCCAATGAAAACCTGCATTTTTACCCAAGTAGTCAGCTATTCCTTAATTTCAGCACTTGGAACGGCCTATTATCTTCTTTTTTCTCATCTGATGACTCGCCGGCCACGCCAAAGGAGAGACAAATATTGACTTTTGAGGATAAATAAAGGATAAATTTCAAACAGGATGTATTTAAAACAAAAAGATAAATACTGGCATGAATGAATAATGGAGTTCTACTGTACGTTCATCCATGCCTGTTGCACGTGATGGTGGTGATGATGATCTTTTTCTTATTCTGCGCTTGTTCTTAAAAGGATTGTCACAGTGTGTTGTAGTTATAGTTAGGCTGCTATATCTGTGCCCTTTTGGCCCAAAACATCTGACAAAACTTCAAATCCTTAATTAGTCATCTCTGGCTTTAACCCCAGCCCCCCCCCCCCCCCCACCCTTTCCCCCCCACCACACACACAACTTCCCAGAAATGACACCCCAGAGCCAAAATGGTGATGGCAATACAACCATATAATCATTTCAAGACTGGAAAAGGAAAGACAATAAAAGAAGGAAAAAAGAGTAATTAATAAACTAAAATCACAGATAACGCAGCAAACAACAAATGACCTTAAAACTGTGGTTGTCACACAGAGTATCATAGCAACGTTCCAGAGGCTGGTCTCTAAATAAAACAGCTTCTGCTTTCCTGGCATGTGAGGAATCGTCCAAGGTAATAAGGTCAAGGCCCTCCTGACCTCCTGTGAACTCTCTGTTTCCATCCTACAAAGACACAAAAGTTATTCTCTTGCAAGCATGGTCTTCCCCTGTAATAAACACTTTATCATTTTCAACACCATAGTTAGAGTTATGTCGTAAGTGTAACTGACTCACAGAGCATGTTGAGAAAGGCGGAGACAGGCATGCTCCGTGCAGAGTGGCAGGCATCACTTTAGAGGTCCCGGGTAGTAAGCTTCCTTTGGATATTTTCTCGAGGTCATGCCGGTGTGTTGCGAAACAAGCAGGCAGATATACTGGTCGGTTCTACACCACTTAATAGAGAAATGATCTATGACAAGCTAGATACTGTGGGGGCCCCTTGGGAGCGGGTAAACAGTCTGAAGGCACAAACAGATAATTATTGTTTCAGGAGAATGGCGATGCGGAGAGTTACCAGGGGATCTGGCTGAAACTCAACACTCAAGGGAAAGGTAAGACGGAAGTACAATCAGACGGTTACTGGTACAATCAGACGTTTACTGGTACCATCGGAGCTGAAACTCTTCGCTTGCTGCTGAAGATGGGGACAGAGAGATTATGGGAGTGTCTCTAGTGCTATGTTGTCGACTCTTAATCAACATTCAACATTCATTTAGAGTCATAAAGAGAGTCTCTCTGGATCATATTTTGGTTCACGAAGGGTTTCCGTATTGTCATCAGACAGTGAGTAGTCAGCCATGACAACTTTAAAAATGTCAAAAATAAATAATCTGTCACTGTGCCCTATATGGAGAAACAATATATTTAATTAAATAATTTTGATGTGTTTTCATTTACCCTATTAAAAAAAAGCCTATTTATAATATATTGGGGTCGGGGGTCACTTTGTCCGTACAAAACAGGGTCGCTACTTGAAAAAAAGGCGGGAAACCTCTGCTCTAGATAAAGAATTAGAAACAGGTTTATTCTTTTGCAAAGTATCCATCTTCAGTTAAACACTGTCATTTTAAACATCACTATTATGGAGGCAGCCTCTCTAGATGAAGAATTATAAACAATTATTCTCTTGAGGTGTAACAAACGCATTCATCATCATCATCAAGTGCTTTGTCAACTGGAGTGGGGGAATATGCTTCTCTACATCTATGCAATCTCCAACATCCTCATAAATTTCCACTTCTGCCACTAACTCTTTGAGTCCCAAGAAACGCATCACACGCTAAACGGTTACTACCCAGATGCCCAAATGGCAGTGGCTTGTGCAGGTATTTAATTGACCAATGGCCAGTATACAAATGCAAACCAGCAGCTTTGAATGGTCTTTCCTGTTCTTTGTGTTGGATGACACATGTGTTGACCATTAGGTTGATCTGGAAACATGGTTGAAAGTATAAAATATGGCATTTTTGTGAGCTGTACTGAATTACCAATATATTTAAGACATTCAACCGTAAATGTAGTGGACTAGGAATTTCTGCAATCTCCGACAGCATATATCCCTTCATGTGCTGACACCCTCCCACTTGATGATAACAAGCTGTCAAGAAGGGTCTCTCATTATGTTATCTTATGTTATGTTATAAAAGGACGTCACTGCACACTGGGCATTCTTATGCATGCTTAGTTTTTCGATGCAGGGGCCACTTCATGGTAAGTAAAAGTCCCTTTTCCACGCCTCAAGGCATATAGGGCTAGATCTATATTTTTAATAGACCAATTGGCACAAGATGGGTGATGTGGTCAGCATATCACCAGCCGCCTTTACTTCCAGGGAATGCACCCGGTACCCACTCAAGGCTAGGTCGACCTGGGAGTCAAGGTCATTTAAAAAAAAAAAAATTCGGCTCCGCCAGTGAGCTCCAGTTCTACTCACCTCTTGTGGCTAAAAATGATGGAGACAATTTCTAAGTGAAGAGTGGAAGACTTGGAGTTAGGAAGGGAGAGAAAGAGATAGGGATAGAGAGAGAGAGAGAGAGAGAGAGAGAGAGAGAGAGAGAGAGAGAGAGAGAGAGAGAGAGAGAGAGAGAGAGAGAGAGAGAGAGAGAGAGAGAGAGAGAGAGAGAGAGAGAGAGAGACAGAGAGAGATGTTTTATGATCAAGCATTTAAAAAACAATGTAGAAAAGTACCTTAACTGTGCCATGTGCTCGAAAGTATCTCAAATAATACAAAGCGACTGTCCAAAAATGTACTTCTGACTCATCCCCAAAAAGTCTAGAAAACAAACAAACAATGACAAAACATAAAGCAAAATGCATGTCTCAACACAAAATGAAGATGAGAACTGTTTACTGTACAAACAATATAGTTACTGAATAAGGAACACATCGTAACTTCATAGGTTCCTACCCAGAAGCCCAATGAATGTAAGATGTGCCGATTTTACATCTCTCTTTACTACCCCTTGGGTCTCGGATACAAAACCCCTGGGACTGAAAGAGTTATAAAGAAAAACTATATTCTAAAGAGATCAATAAGACAAATGAATATTCTTCTTCTAGCCTTTATCCTCCAATGGTGTACAGGCCTTTAACCAACTCACATCAAGTCATCCTATCCTTTGCTAACATATGCAGGTCACCCCCATGTCTTTTCAACATGACTGTAGATGCCTTCTCCATGTATTTTCTAGCCTGCGTGTATTTCTATGCCAATGTGGATTCAAGTGTAAAGGCATTCTAGTTATAATTTGCAATAATTATGCAACTAATTTAAATCGCACAAAACTGCTTTATCAATCCCATAAAAAAATAATGAAACCAAAGTCTGTAAGTGAAATATAAGTGTTTTGTTTACCTGGCAACCAAAAGACAACGATGAGCAGTTCCAAACTTGCAAACTGGCAGATAATTAGTTAAATCCCTAGAAGATAAAGAGGAAACTTATTAGAAGATAAAGAGCAAACTTTTTTTAAAACATAAATCAGACTACAAAGTGCACTATATATATTTTTTATTTTCTTTAAAAAGTACAAAATTCTTGAAAAGTAAATGTAAAATCTCAGGAAACATTCGTAAGAAGTTTTCACCATCACTACTGATGTAGTTTTAAATAGATTAACAATGGCAGCTTAAAATAGGGAAAGATTTCAGATTTTCATTGATATTTTATATCTGCTGGCATAGTTGACAACACTCTTCCAATACCACTGTTTGCTCATGCACACTCACTAAATGAAATGAAGTAAAGAGCAAAACTATCATACAACAAATAAAGAAACAAATCAAAACACTGAACTGGTAAGCTGAAAAGAACACAATAAGTACTCTCTCTTATCCTCCAATGGAGAATAGGACCTCAACCAACTTACAATTAGCTTTTCTATATTTTTTTAAAAATAATTCTTCCTCTTTTGCACCCACCAGCTGCAAACTAAGGGAAAGTCTTGGTTGTCTGTCCAATTCCGAACTTTAGTCTTCCTCCAGGGCTTGAGTGTTGCATGCACACCCCTTTTACAGATCTGGCTTATTTGTGTGTAGACTACTGGCTTTTTGCTGCTCAGGCAGACGCATTCTGACTTCCAAGTTAGCCAGGCCCCCATTAGGAAACCTGCTTCTAGAGTGACCACAGAAAGGCGAAGAACAGTTTCTGCCCTGGTCCTAATTCACCACATGTGGTTCAGCAAAATGTCATCTCAGCTTACCTATCATTTGCCATCTTTGCTCTTTTTTCTCTTCATCTTCTTCTTCTTCTTCACGTTCACCAGCTGTAAACTCTGGCAGAAAATTCTGGCTGTCATCCACTTCTGGACTTCAGTCTTGTTCCAGAACCTGAGTTTTGCTTGCACATACATTTTACAGATCTGCCTTACTTGTATGCAGACTGTTGGCTCCCAGCCTCTCAGGAAGATACATTCCGACTTAGAAAGAAACCCCTAACTGGTGATTCTTATGTCATGCTTGTTAGAGGGGCAGGGTCTTTCCCAAAATGGGGGCCTGGAACCCACACGGGAAATCTTTGCTCTTTCCATGTCCTCCCTCAGTTTCTAATATTTCCACCATGTACATGTACAGTCGTCGGCTCTGTCGAAGCAAACGCTTCGTAATGCCGGGATGCCGGGTTTTATTCCAGCTGCGGGTCATGCGCATAGCATTGGTTTCGGCAGTGGTATCAAGAAAGCTGACCATCCAGAAAGCAATGGCAAACTACTAGACGTAAATTTGCCTAGAAAAACCACACAACAGCCAGGGGCTTTTGGGGTTGGTTCTGCAACGTCCTGTAAAGGATACGCAACTAACCTAACATGTACAGTCAAGCTTCTTGGCAACCGGCACTAGCTATAAGGTTTCACATATTAAATGACATTATCAACACATGTTCTGAAACAATTCCATGCCATAATGAGTCTCTGACGAACATTCTCTCACTGTTTTCCTCTACCTCTATTTGTATAAAAGTTGTTTTCTGTTTTTTACAATGTCTCCTAAGATGTAGTTCTTGAGTCAGACCAAGAACAAGATGGAAAGATGTCATCAGAGAAACTCTACAACAGCATGAGAGTCTATGATTGAGGCAGTGAGAGGAGCAAGAAGCAGAAGCTTGTATCTCCCTGACACCCAAAGGTCTACATGACATCACGATTCAGACAAACAAGGTGACATTATAGTGACAGTTTACACCACCCCCCCCCCCCCCCCCCCCCCCCACCCCCCCCCCACCCCCCCCCCCCCCCCCCCCCCACCCCCTTTTTTTTAAAAGCACCAAACAGGAGCAGCTTTCTGTGTCTTCAAGTTACGGCTTTGAAAAGAGAATCACTAAAACAAAGCTTTGTATATATATAAAATAGTGTCCAGTGAATCAATAAATTAGGAAGAGATGCTAACACCGGAAGGATACAAAGTGAGAAAACCTGGTAACAGTGTAACTACAATGTCCTTTCAATGAAACCCACAAGGCTGAAGAATAAAAGATAATGAGTGTTCATTGTCATCACAGCTGTGCCGATAAGAGTTGGCTGTCATGGTTAGCATCTCACACGATCACTAGAATTGCAGATAAGGTCAGTGCTCTTATCTCACCCTCATCCATATGGCTTAACCATCCCGGTATTTATCATGTTACAAACATGTTTAAACAATTGCAAATGAGGTAGATAATACCTACTTATCAATCAGATTTAGTTGTGAAGCAACAACCTTCTGTGAGAGCTTGTCATGCTCCAGTACTCCAGCCACTGAAAGAGAATTTGCACTTCTCCAAGCCTGATGCTGAAGTAAGCATTTGATGGCCTGGCAGAGACGTCCGGGCAGGAGGTGAGGTAAAAATACAGGTTCTGGATATGGAAACACAAATGTCCAAATTATGATTCTTTTATGGGGTGGGGTCAAGTAACATGAGGCTGACAGCAAAACACAAAATGTGGTCATCATGTGGCATGCAAATCATGTGAAGTATATGGGAAACTCAGGCTATCAGCATGTTTTAAGTCTGCTTTACTGGGAAGGGGGGGGGGGGGGGGGGGGGGGGGGGGGGTGAAGAAGGAGGAGCAGGAGAAGAAAAAGAAGAAGCTGCAGCAAAAGCCACAGTAGAAGTAGAGTCAGGAGGAGGAGAAGGAGGAGGAGATGAAGAAGAAGATGAGGATGCCAATGAAGAAGAAGAAGATGATGATGAAGAAGAAGAAGAAAAAGAAGAAGAGAAAAAGGAAGAAGAAGAAGAAAAAAGAAGAAGTAGCAGAAGAAAAAGATGAGAACAAAGAAGAAGACGATGACAATAAAGAAGAAGATAAATGAAGAAGCAGAAGAATGAAGAAGAAGAAGGATGAGAACAATAAATGTAACACTTGATAGCTTTTATTTTAACTCTTCAAATAGCAGAAGATTTCACAGGATATTTTCAATGGTAGCAATAGTCACAGTGAATTTAAATTGTGTTAACCACACCGTCACAGTTGTAGCAACACATATGCCTAGTTGGGGCATTAAAATAACTAGCCAGGTTTCTGAAGCATGTTTAGGCTAAACATAAGATCACACTGTTGGCTACTTGGTACACATGGGAAAGAGCCAACTAAAAGTAAATGACTCTTCTCCATGCCTTCAGGTGTACTGGGCATATAGGGCTGGACCTATACTTTATAGACCAATCAGCACTAAGTGGGTGATGTTGTCCACATCACACTGGTCACCTTTACTTCCCAGGACTTTACCAGGTACCCATTTAAGGCTGGGTCAACCTGGAAGCCAAGGTCATTTCTGAAAAAATGTCAGCTCCATCTGACCTGAACCTTCAACCTTTGGATCTATATGCGAGCGCCTAGCCACTACACCACAGCTGCTCCCAGGGTGGTTGGGACTGAAAGAGTTAAACTGCTATAAACTGCCTAAATACAGTGTGATTCACAGGATGTCAAGAAAACAAAAGACTGACGTGAACTATACCTCGAGGGACCCAATCTTCTGCACTGGATGTGGCCAACTTCATTGTAATGTCACAGATGTGCAAAGTGCTGTGTGAAGTAATTAATGTTGGACGATCTGATCCAGCCCAGTCAATGTCCACCACTTTACTGATCTCGCCAGGACTTTTAATAGAATGTATGATGTTGGACTGTCAACAGCAGATTTGAGAATGATTAGACCACATATTAAATTCTTCATGTTTATAAAATGCTTGCAAAGCATGTTAATTATAATAATTGTGTTATATCTGTGTAAAATGTAGTAACATAACTTACTTTTGTATATTTTGTTTTATCTCTGTCTTCCACAGGCCTGATAATTAACAACACTCATCTTCTGCGTCGTTGAACTTTAGAGCTCTTACCACTGTGTCTGTATAATATTGCTCTCTGTGGTGCCTTGTCTGCTGCTTATCTTGTTACATGGCCAAACCATGCTGCCTATTGATAAAGTTCAGTATTAGTTTGGTGCCGACTCTCCTCCTGATTTCATCAACCCTAAGCCGATCTTTTCTTGTCACACATCTAGCATAATACGTAAACATTTCATTTCTGTCCTGACTATATTTATTCCATCTTCTGAAGACAGAGACCATGTTTGATAGTGCTAGCAGAGCGTCGGTCTATTCTGTATTAATGTGAAAAAAGACCTCATAAAACCAACCTTTCCTTCGAAGCCAATCTCCCATATTAAAACACCATCATTGTGCAGGGTGAAAAAGGTCATATTGTCTCGTCCTGGGGCAAAACGGATCTTCTTGATCCAGCCTCTGTTTGTTGGAGTTGTTCTGAAAATATCAACAGATTCATGTCTAACATTAAGAAATACACTGGGAATGAATACATAAGTAGTTGAAATAAATCATCTAAGACCATTACAATTCATAAACCACACTGGAAGATGTAACACTTATAAAAACCCTACTGAATGAAAAAGTTAAAGGTGAGCAAGCAAACTGAGGATAACATAAAGAGATGGACAAAGAACAAACTTAGAGAGTTTACACATCCTTCCTTCAAAGAGTGCGTTATAAATCTTTGCAGCCAACCTCACTATGAAGGCAGCACCTGGCTGACTGACTAAGAAATCAGCTGAATAAATTGTAATAGTTATAAATGTGTAAAATCTCCCCACAATTGCAAGCCTGCACACCACACGCACACAAAAGTTTTCAGTTAGATGCATATGTCTGAAGTTGTCACAGAAAATAGAAAACTAATCAAACTTGTATTCAAACCTATTATTCTGTAGTTCTGCTTACCACATCTTCTTTATTTTTGCTGTTTTATTTATTTACAAGACATCTGTGTGGATTCCGGGCCAAATTTTGAGGGAAAACAAGAACAGACCCACTGCCTCCCTAACAAACATGCCATATAAGGTGATTAATTAGTTACTTTTTTTCTCTCCAAAGTTGGAGTGCATCTACCTGAGCAATGGGGAACCAACAGTTTGCACACATATGTGAAAAATGGATGTTTATGCACAATTCAAGTTCTGGAACAAGAACAAAGTCCAGAAGTGGGTAGACAAACAGAGCTTTTCACCGGAGTTTACAACTACCCAAGACTAAAAGGAAAAGATTTACAAGCAATACCCTGCTTAACTCACGTCAATCAGGACATTCCCATATGTGCCCAGTCCTCATTTTCAGCAGCCATAAAAAAAAGTTTCAGTTCTGATAGTGCCAACAGCAATCTGATTATATGTGTGTCTTGTCTTTCCTCTGAGTGTACAGTGTCAACCACATCACCTGATCTTGTCAAGCTGTACCATTCTCAGCATTCCATACTAGTCAATTCATGCCTCCACATTGTGCACTTGCCCCCAAAGGGCCTTTACTACATTCAGTGTCAGTCAGTCAGCCAGTCAGTCAGTCTAAAGTCAGTCAGTAAGTCAGTCAGTCAGTCAGTAGCCTGTCCTTTGCAGAACCTTGCACCCATAACAACCCTCCAGAAAACTTCTCGATCACAAGCAAGATGTCCCGCGTCCGATACACCCATCTGGAGATCATCCACCACATCCTGCACTCATCTCCTCTTTGGCCCTTCTCTCTTCCCTGGCATATTTCCCTCCATTATTGTTCACTCGAAACTTTTGTGACGTTTCAAGTGACCAAAATATTTCAATTATCTGTGTTTTATTGTCTTTAATAGCCAACTTTCTTCAATATTCAGTTCTTGAAGTATGGATGCATTTTTTCTTTTCTTTACCCAAGATATTCTTAGAACCCGTCTGTAACATTTGTATTCAAAGGAATTTATGCACTGTTTAGCTTGTTTAGTAAGTGTCCAGGTCTCAAAGGCTATGTTGCAATGGGAGAGATGCATGCTCTTAGAAATCTAATTTTTGTAGTTCTGTCTGTCCCACTCCATAATTTATTCTGTTGTTGTAGTCTTTGAAGAACTGATAGTCACCGTTTAATATCTTTGATTATGTCACCACTGTTGGTAATCTATGACCCAAGAAATTCAAAAATGTTCCATAACCTCCGATCTTTGCTCATTAACACATAATTCTTTCTCCGTGGTAGTTTTATCTGTATGTATTTTCTCTCTCTCTCTCTCTCTCTCTCTCTCTCTCTCTCACTCACTCACTCACGCACGTACACACACACACACAAAATTCACCTTGAGATTTTTGCCTTCAGATCCCACAAACACTGCAAGCCTTCAGAATCTCCAAAAATCAAGTTATCATTCTTCCAGGCAAGGGCAGTAATCCTTGACAAACCACTCTGAAAAGAAAAGAAAATCCAACTTAAATTTTACTCTCAATTCTCTGACTGCATAAAAAATAGCATTATAAAAAAACAAAAAAAAACATCATACCATAATTTAATATATAAAAAAATAATACACAAAGAAGATAACCTTTCAGTTCCTTTTTATCACTGTTTCCTCCTATTTTTCTTCTAATCTCATCATCATCATAGTCGAAAATCTGGCTATCTTCCGAATAATAATCCCAAATTATCGATGCAGAAAATATACCCTAACAGGGCCTCAGTCCCGTGTCTATTGCGCACTTCTGGTGACTTAAATTGCGCACTTCTGGCGACTTCCGCCACCGCCGAGAGTATCCCCCACGTGGATTGAGGCTAAACTAGATGGCTGGGACTCACGAGCAGCAGCTACCGCATTTCCTGCAGCTGCCTTCCTTTTAAAAGGGATCTTTACTTTAATTATATTGCAACAGCATAAAGCTGTCTACTTTTGCTAGTCTACAGTTTCCTTCCCTGCAACAGCACAAAAATGCATTTGCCATTCTATCAGCTGCCTCTTTTTCTTCAACAGCACAAAGATGTCCACTTTGGCCATTCTTTAAGCTGCATCTTTTCCTTTAAAGCCACAAAGTCTACAGTTTCCTTCCCTGCAACAGCACAAAGGTGCATTTGCTATTCTATCAGCTGCCTCTTTTTCTTCAACAGCACAAAGATGTCCACTTTGGCCATTATGTAAGCTGCCTCTTTTCCTTTAAAGCCACAAAGTCTACAGTTTCCTTTCCTGCAACAGCACAAAGGTGCATTTGCCATTCTATCAGCTGCCTCTTTTTCTTCAACAGCACAAAGATGTCCACTTTGGCCATTCTTTAAGCTGCCTCTTTTCCTTTAAAGCCACAAAGTCTACAGTTTCCTTTCCTGCAACAGCACAAAGGTGCATTTGCCATTCTATCATCTGCCTCTTTTCCTTCAACAGCACAAAGATGTCCACTATTACATCTACGAGATACCTCTTTCCCCGCAGCAGCACAAAGTTGCCTACTTTTGCCAGTCTCTCCTCTCCTTTGCAGCAACCACAAAGTTATATTTTAATGCCAATACTCACCTCAGGCGGTATCTTTGTTACATCAGAAATGGCAGTTCCTTCAACAATAAAGTGAAAGACAGTCCCTTCTTTGTCTGTCATGACAAAGTGCTCTCTGACCCCATTCTTCCGATGCTCTTTCTTCTCCCTGTGCACAAAACAACATTAATAAATAAAGAGAGAGAGAGAGAGAGAGAGAGAGAGAGAGAGAGAGAGAGAGAGAGAGAGAGAGAGAGAGAGAGAGAGAAGGGGAGAGAGAGAAGGTAAGAGAGAATCCAAGAAGGAGACAGAAGAGAGAGAGAGAGAGAGAAAGAAAGAGCAGAAAGAGGAAAAAGAATGTCACAGACTATATTATTAAGTAATTAATGGGGGGGGGGGGGGGAGAAAATGACAGACATACAGAGAGGAGAGGGGAGAGATACAGACATACAGAGATGGAAAAAGGAAAAGAGAGAGAGAGAGAGAGAGAGAGAGAGAGAGAGAGAGAGAGAGAGAAGGGGAGAGAGAGAAAGGAAGAGAGAGAAGGTAAGAGAGAATCCAAGAAGGAGACAGAAGAGAGAGAGAGAAAGAAAGAGGAGAAAAAGGAAAAAGAATGTTACAGACTATATTTTAAGGTAATTAATGGGGGGAGGGGGGCAGAAACTGACAGACAGACAGACAGACAGAGGAGAGGGGAGAGATACAGACATACAGATAGAGAGGGTAGAACAAAGACAGAGAGAGAGACAGGAGAGAAAGAAAGGAAGAGAGAATCAATCCAGAAAGGGGAAAAAGGGAATAGAGAAACAGAGGAAAGAGAATGTGTGAGAGAGAAAATAGATTTTTAAGTAATCAATTATAAAATGAAAAATCAGAACAGAAATACTTCTCTTCCTGAGAATCAACAGAAGCTGTCATTATATTGCTAGATGCTGACGATGTCACTGCAGATTTGTCATCATCACCGTAATCCAGAAGCTTCTTCCGCAGGGTCTTAAGACTGTGAGAGGGGGACCACACCTAGAAAAGATGTTAAAGTCTAACTGACCCTAATTTTATAGTCTTTAAACAGATTAGAATGATACTAGATTTCTGATTGTGTGCTGACTAAATTACCAACTGAGTGCCAATAAGTCTATAAAAATTATGTCTAGCGCAGAAATGGCAACCAGGGCTGTCGAAATTTTTCTGGGAATAATACTAAATTTATTTTAAAAAGCATACAATTTTTACTTCTTAATTAAAAAACAAACATTAAAATGTCTTTGAAAGGGTGCGCAGGCATGCAAGCTTGCCAGCAAGCACACATAAATAAATATAAAACTGGTTTACGTTATATTTGATTAGAACTTAAATTTGGAGTCCATTATCATTATTGCTGTACGGTTCTTTTTAGTTGTTGATCAGTTTGTTACAAAGCTGCACTTAAAAAGCATGTAAACAGCAACTAATTAGGAGTATTTAATTCAAAGTCAAAGTACATTCTGCCTTAACCAACAGACTGCACAAAAAATAAGCCAGATCTGTCAAACAGATGTGCATGCAAAATTCATGATGTTCTGGAGCAAGACCAAAGTGGACAAACAGCCAGAACTATCTGCCGGAGTTTACAGCCGGTGAAAGCGAAGAAGAATATGTTTTATATTTAATCAGATGTACTTAAGAAAGAAAAAAGGGACTTTTCAAATGAAATGCTATAGATAGATTTTAGAATACCATGGACAAATAAGAACAGAAATGCTGACATTTTGAAAGATCTGAACATCAAGGAAAATTGGCTAATAAACAGCATCTTGTCTCAGAAGCTGAACTATTTTGGTCATATCAAGCGCCACAGGGGATTGGAAAAAATAACAGCAGAAGGCATGGTACCTGGAAGGAGGGGCAGGGGCCGACCAACATGAAGATGGGTGCATGACACAAGTGACTCCTTGAATATGAAAGTGCACGAAGCAGGAGCACTGGAAAGAGACTGAGTTTCTTTCAGGCAGACCGTGACGAGAGCGATATTCTGCAAAGGACCTGCTAAACGATGATGATATAATCAGATAATAGCAGATTAAAAAAAACAAATGCTTCAGCCACATAAGTGGCGGTAATGCAGTGGCTGGTGCACTTCATGGCCTGAACATTTTCCAATCATTAGTTCACAGTCCACATTTCTGCACCATGTAGTAAGGTTTAACATATAAAACATCGGGAAAATCTAATTGTTTAGTAAAATCTTAATTTGTCTAACAATATTTTTAAAGTGTTGTTTATCCATCTAAATATTCATGTTTTTCTTGTGTTGTTGAAACAATTTTTAACGTTAAATAACATCACAGAAACTTACGGCAGTAGTAGGTCTTGGAAAGTTGCGAGGGAGCTCACGGATTATAGTCCTTGATCTCAAATCCCACAGTTCAAGTGGTTTGTCCTTAAACAGCAGGATGAAGTACAGCCTGAAAAGAAATGACCAATATTCAATTTATATAATGAAACAAAAGGCTTCCACAGTGTAGTGACGTAAAAAAAAAATGGCTGCTGGTCAAGTGTATGAAACTCCTTCGAGTAACAATTTTTTTAAAAATACAGCATCTAGGAAGTATTCTGGAAAGTAAAGGCAGCTGGCCGGATGTTGACCTCAGTGTCCACTGGTCTATAAAAATATGAAATTAGCATCATATACTCAAACTGCTGTTTAGTGCAGAAATAAGTCCTTTATATAGTCACCCCCCCACCCCCCCCCCCCCCCCCCCCCCCCCCCCCCCCCCCAACCCCCTTCCCTTCCCCAGCAACACACAATTCTCCTACATGGGTTGGGCATTTAGCTCCTTTGGATGTAGTATATCCTTGATTTTGTTGCTATCATTATTGCAACATTTCGGCACCAGCTATGTACGTCTGAGATTTGAAAGAGTTAAGGTCACCCCTGGTGTATATCTGGGCAAAATTTTGACTTAATTTGTAAACTTGTTTGTGGATGACAATATTTTAGTGCGTTAATTATTATATTAAAATATGGTTATTATTTTATTACTTTCTTTAATTATATTATGATTACACAAAAAACTTCAAGAAAATGACAGGAAAGCTTCTTTCTAGCAAAAGTGGAAGGAAATGTACAGGAAGAACAATTTTCAATACTGTATCCATACAAATTTACTTCAAATGATGATGATGACATAATACCTCTCGGTCTTTACAGATGATAGTGTTATACTGTGCTTGGAGGAAGAATTATAATCACAGCCTATGGTGATGGTAAGTGTGACTAGCAAGACTTGCCCGCACTAAGAAAAGTCTTTCACAATTACAGCCTGGGATTTCAGGGCCATTCTTCCCATCATATGTATTTAAGCTGGATGTATTTAGTGTTTTTCTTCTGGAACGCTCAGCTCTCATCCTTCTGCAACCATTTCTTCCTTTATTCTAATTCGCTTCCTGATCCCCCCCCCCCCCCCCTCCATGTAACAACATGGTCAATGGCATTCTGTTCCTACAAATCTACCTCAATATCTGTATCATTCATCTCCCACTTGCACAGATCTTTATACAGAGGATGTCCTTAGGGACAGTTGATGACACAAGTGAAATAATAATAGCTACTCTTAACATAACATACTTCTGGTGTGATATGATCAGCATTTCAATAGGTGATTCATTTTCCTTGTTTGTTCGTAACTGTTCTTGTTTACCTGCAAAATTAAAAGATATTATTAAAAAAAAAATTTTTGCTAAAAGAAAAAAGTAAAGGACCCCTTTAAACACCTTCATCTGCACTGGGCACATAGGGCTAGGCCAATATTTTTAAGACCAAATGGTACCTAGTGGGTGATGTCAGCATAATGCCTACCACCTTTACTTCCCAGGACTTGTACATGGTACCCATTAAGGTTTCCTCAAAAATTAAGTTTTCAGGTCTACTGGGTGTGGCCACATGCTGCTTCATAACTCAGCTTAGAAAGGACAGTCTTGCAAGACAAGTTCTGGAGTCTGTTTAGCAAGAAGACACCGGCAGTGAGCTGTTTGACTCATACCTAATTTTATTTAGTGTTTGTTAAGTCCGCAGTTAATGGTCGACGTTTGGTGCAGCAGAGCCTAGCATATGATACCACAACATCCAGCTTAAGAATGGAGGTGGAGGCGGTCACTGCAGCTTTCCGCTGGCTAGAGAACACGACACACACACATATTGTAATTATAACTGATTCAAAAAGCATGCTGAGGAGGATCAGAACAGGTATGCTTCGTGCAGAGTGGCATGCTTCGCTGCGGAGGACACGAGTGAGGAGTATTATCTGGATTTTTTCACCGGGTCACGCCGGTGTGGTGGGAAATGAACAGGGGGACATACTGGCTGGCTCTGCACAACTTGGTGGAATACTGCTACATGATAGGGCAGATGTGGTTAGTGCCTTGTGGGAGAGCATGTACAATGCGGAGGAGCAGATGGATCACCACAGTTTGTGAGATTGATGAAGTTGGGGGTGACGAGAGGTTCTGGCAGAAGCTCAAGGCTCAGAGGAAATGCAAGACCGACATTTAATCAGAAAGCTACTGGCACCATTAGTATCGGAACTCTTCGCTGGCTGCTGAAGATGGAGACAGAGCGCTTATGCCCCGGGTGCTGTGATGTCGGTTCTTGAATCAAATCAAATCAAATGAAGTCTGCAGTATCCAACGCATAAGCAAAAAAAATGTGACTTGGTCTGTTCTGTGCAGCTGTTTGAGGAAATGTTTTTGATGGTAATAACCTGTGTTAGCTTTCCAATCTATTTCTAATTTTCTCCTCATGATGGTTTTGACTTCTGGAAAAGATAGTGGCTGGTAGATTTTTGTTTTCTGTTGCCTTCCTGAAATGCTATAGATAGATTCTCAGAATATTTTGGACAGAGAAGATGAGAAATATTGACATCTTAAAAGATCTGAACATCAAGGAGGATTGGCTAATAAACAGCATCCTTTCTCGAAAGCTGAAATATTTTGGTCATATCAAGCGCCACGACGGATTGGAAAAAATTATAGCAGAAGGCATGGAAACAGGAAGGAGGGGCAGGGGCCGACCGACACGAAGATGGGCACAGGAAATAATTGACTCCTTGAGTGTGAAAGTTCATGAGGTGGGAGAACTGGCAAGAGACCGAGTTTCTTACAGGCAGACTGTGATGAGAGCAACGTTCTGCAAAGGACCTGCTACATGATGATGATGATGATGATGTTGCCTTCCTTGGCTAAAGCATAAGCACTTTCATTGCCTTTGATGCCACAGTGAGATGGAATCCACTGTAAGCGAGTTTTTGCCCCCCCCCGCACAACATAGAAAGTTCCTTTGTAAGACTTTGTAGTGTCCTGTCAGTAGTTTTGAACTCTAGAGCCTGTATGGCTGACAGTGAATCCGGGAGAAAAACAATCTTGCCTGCTATATTAAAATTTGATGTTAACATCATGCACCCCATACGTCTCAGGATGGAAAAAAATTGTAATTCTCTTCTTCTTTTCATTCACCGGCTATAAACTCCAGCTTAAAGCCCAACTGTTCGTCCATTTCTGGACTTTATCTTGTTCCAGGACTTCCGTGTTGCAAGTACATCCAATTTGTGAACAGTTGTGGCTTAATTGTGTGCAGACTGTTGGTTTCTTATCTCTCTGGCAGATACAGTGCGATTTCAAAGGGGAAAACAAAATAGGAATTCTTCACTTTGTTTTTCAGTCTATACTTAACATTCAGAATACTAACTAACTCAAGAGAAATACCCACCGGTGATAATATCAAGCACATAGATTTCATTCTTGACAAGGTTGGAAGGTCCAGGATTTGAGTAAGCATACGATACAAACGATTTAAGACCAGACCACTCAATACCTCTGCGAATGAAAATTACACAGAAAATGCATTAAAACCAGGGCTATTTAACTGAAGGCCTGTGGGCCAAATCTGGCCCGCAGAGGCCTAGAAAGTGGCCCATGGATCATTGCCAAAACAGCAATATTTATATGCTGGGTTCAGGCCTCTGTCCCGTAACGATGTAATGATCCCAATTTTCAACATTTTGGCCTTGAGGATAAATCTAATTGAACAGCCCAAAGAATGAAATCATTGGGGACACTTTTAGGTCACTGAAATAGTATGAAAAAAAAATAGTCTTGCATGGAAAATTATTTTAATAAACTGACTGGTACTAATAAATACAGTCCTGTTACTACTTCTCTCTTCTCTAGCCATGAGTGCCAATCAGTACCTCAGTGCAGAAACCTCGTTAACATGAACTAGCTAAAGAAAACACTCGGTTAACATGAACTAAATTTTGGACTTCTGAAGAAAGCAATCACAAATATAATAACCATCACAAAAATTCTAACTGAACTTTAATTACCGTAAATTAATTTTAAAGTCACATTTTTGGGGGAGGGGGAGGGGAGGGGGTGTATGCATTTCATGCTAACAATATGAAGGTCTTTTTAAAAATAGGCCAATGTGTACAATTAGAAATTATTAAGCAAGGAAGAGTTTTTCACGGTATATATAAAAGTTTATACCTAAATACCTTGCTAGAGTCTTAGACAAAATACCAACACAAAAAAAAGAAATCTAAGAATAAAAACCAAGTGAATAGATATCTTTAAATAAATTAACACAGCCCTAAATGACTACACATACAGTTAATTGAAGATTCTGCAAGTAGGTCAAGATCAGTCAAGAGGAAAAAGCCTAATTCTTTGATACAGACATATCTGCTAGACTCTAGCACATGATAGGGATTGTGTATTTTTGAGTTATTTACCACACAATGAGTAGGTGATTACTGAAATGGGTGGGAGCTGTCACAATTAAGACAAAGAATTCTGTACTGTGTAAGCAAACAAACAAATCACATGGTACATGTCAGACTTTCATGGTAAGCACAGGGTTAATTCTGAACTCACTTTGGTACATTTTATAATGGACATTATGATTTATGTATTTCATTTGAAAGAATTCATGTTTTGTGCTTCATAATACAATGATGTAGCTCTGAGGAGATACTGTGAGATATGCAGGCAATAAATTGTGCAATGTATTGTTTGTGCATTATTTGTGATGGAGTTTTCAAACTCTTAAAGTCCCAAGCAGTTATTACTTCAACCCCTTCTGTTTCAAGCAGTTGAGCTTAAATGCAATACATAGTCAGGTCTAAAGGAGTTCCACAGAGTCACTATACAACAGAAGTAGTTCAACTAACATTTCAGATACAATGGGTACAAATAACATCTACATATTATAAAAGACAGCAATTACATCATATAAACATAGGAATGACCAAGGAACGTATATCGGGTTGGTTGGTCATGAAAGAGTTAATGCTGACCTTACCTGACTGGGCTGGAATGCAAGTTATACTCCCTCTCAACCTGACCACTGTCCACATTGACAATCTGAATACAGCCTGAGTGTGTACCTGGACAGAGGAATAATACAAAAATAGTCCCAGACATTTAGAAAACTATGTATTTAACAAATCAGACACCTATTTACACCAGCTGTTATCAGCCAGGGGATCTCTCATACATAGGGTCCCACATGGAATCTAGAAGATTCAAATAGCAAGAAATTTTATAAAGGGATAAATATCAAATTACAGAACAAATATAAATAATAAATTTTAACACAAATACAAATAACAGAAAATGATAGCTATCAAAATACAGAAAAAAGCTATAGATTAAAAGAAAAATTATTATTATTAATACACAGAGGAACTGCGCACAGAACTGCAAAAGAGAAGGATGCCCTGGCTTCTGAATAAATAAGAGAGACTTTGACTACAGCAGAATCTTCTCATAGGTCATGCCACGTGGTATTGATAGTCATGTTTGTCATCAAAGTGTTGAGTACTTTCAGTCATTTCTGATACAGACAGTCTTCCATGCCATGATTCCAAACTGTAGACCTTCTCTTTCTGATGTAAGTAATCAGTTCCTTTCATGAGCTAATCTTTCAGGAAGGAGGGGCAGGGGCTGACCAACATAAAGATGGGCACAGGATGTAACTGACTCTTTGAATATGAAAGAGCATGAGGCGGGAGAGCTGGCGAGAGACCGTGTTTCTTTCAAGAAGACAGTGATGAGAGCAACGTTCTGCAAAGGACCTGCTACATGATGATGATGCATCTTCTTCTTCAGCCTTATGAGCCCTTGAGGTTCAATGCTGCAGATATCACCTGCCTCCATTCATATCTATCTGACTGGCCTTCTCTTTCAAATAAGAGTTTGTTGGTCTGCCTGTGCATTTTCTCTCCACTGTCTTCTTGGTTTAAGTTTAGCTTTGCCCGGCCCGCTAGCGCAGTCGGCAAAACCGGATTGTGCGGTGACTGGGTGATGAACTCCTTGTGGTCCGGGTTCATGCCCGAGTGTAGGCAGAAAAGCCACATTTCTCCCAGATTAACGGTATTTATCATGGAATCAAGGCCGAAGGGTTGTGATATCCATAATACCGAGCCTAAGGGTTAACAACTCATGGCTTCTGGATACTAAAAAAAAAAGTTTAGGTTTAGACGACGAACCAACATCATAACACAAGGGTAGTAACCCGTAAGTGCTTCGTTCTACTTTTGACTCAAGCCTGAGTCCGAAGAATCTCAGCGCAATGCACAAACTCCGTAGCACCGGCAAGGATACTGAAATACTTTGGGTAGATTTTTAACTCCAAATTCTGTCCGAGCAGCGCCTTTAGGCTACTCTTTTCAATTTCCAACTGCCAAAGGATTTTTTTTTAATGTGCGGAATACGCACAAGTGTCCGATCTTACTACCCAGGGACCAGGGGAAATTACTAAAAGTCCAAGTGAGAAAAAAAAAATCCCAGCCTTCACCTGGGCTTGAACCCGGGACCTCCAACACTCGAGGCGGACACCTCATCACCTGTCTTCTTGGTCTGCCCGATGGTCTCCTCCCATTACGTTTTTTATTTTTTTTGGGACGTATGCAGATTTTGTTTCTTTGTTATATGCCATTTTCTGTATAAGTCTCAACCATCGCAGTTAAAAAATGGAAGTAAAAAAATAATTTTCCTCGCCTCCATGTGCATTGGGCATATAGTGCCCAAACCAATCGGCACTCGGTGGGTGATGTGATCAACATCAGCCAGCAGCCTTTACTTCCCAGAACTCTGACTGAACACATGATCTTCTGATAGGCAGGTGATCATATAGCCGCTACACTGCAGCGGTTCCCTATCACATCAATTACAACTTGAATACTTATACTCTTTTTCTGGAAGACCTTCTTTATCAGCTGGATAAATATATACCCACTGAGATCAAAGACACACTTTCCTTTGGTGTTATCTTAACATTATGTTTCACTCATATTCACCTAAAGCCATAAATGGTTGGTAAGAATGAATATTCCGATTGGTCAGGGGCGGACACATCCTAATGACAGTCACATGAGCTGAGATGCCACTGGTCAAGCCGGTCAGAAGAAACTTCAGCTGTACTGGTGGTCCTGAGAGGCCAAACTCTGAGGTCTGTGGAGAAAATCAACAAATTAATTAGGACATGTTGATGTCCCCATTTTGGGCTCCTATTTAGAGGCAGGTTGGGGGGGGGGGGGGGGGGGGAGACTGACCCACTTCTTATTAATATGTATGTAGTAAAAGGTGACTAACTGTGTGTTCGGTGAAACTGGAAGTTTCAACTGAATGTTGAATGATGAATTAAGAATTGACATTACAGCACTCGGGACACCCCCATAAGCACTTCATCCCCATCTTCAGCAGCAAGCGAAGAGTTAAAATTCCAATGGTACCAGTAACTGTCTGATTGTAAATCCATCTCGCCTTTACCTGAGTGCACGTTTGAAATTGATTACGCATATGTCAAATACTGTATATTTTCTTTAGGGGTACACAAATTATTGGTCAAACAAAGATCACAGAAATTTGTCAAGTTTAGGAAAACAGCCAGGAGTTTTCTAGATATTTGTATAAGTGTCAGGACACAACTTTTGAAACGCACTATACTGCGCTACCACCAGTTCCCTCATATGTTGTTGTTATCGATCCAGCGGCACATGAGCTTTCGCCCTTTGGCCCAATGCCATGTAGTGGAATTTGCATGTTTTCACAAGCTGTTCTTTTCCTCCGTACAAGGTGTTCCACTTGTCTGGTCTCGGAGGGAGTAGCGTTCTTCTTGTCTCACTGAGTTTTGGGCACTCAAAGAGATGGTGTTCAACAGTTTCGTAGGGGTAGTTACATAGCTGGCACTCTGGGGAGTGTTGTGGCTGTATTCTGTATTCCATTGAGTGGAGTATGTTGCGTTTTAAGTCTGAAGATGGTGGCCTGGTCCCTTCTTGTTAGATGGTTAATGCTGTCATTAGGATCAGTGCCAGCCATATGTCTATAAACCTCTCTTCCAGTGGTTCCCTCATATAAAAGTGGTAATTATGTACATCCCTAATCTCTTGATCCACAAAAATCCCATCACTGTCCATACTGACATCTGCCCGAGCCATACTGTTGAACAGTCTAGAAGATTCTCTCCAGTACCTTTGGTCCTCACATATTTACTGCTATTAAAACATATTCCAATAACCATATCATGACATATCCACACAAAAACTATTGAATTTTCAGTATGTTTATTGTTCATTATTCACCCCCCCACCACATCTGTTTATTTAGCTTTATTTAAATCTTAATTAATCACTTACCTTATTCAGCCATTTCATCTTCCTCTTCTGCATTTGCCCTTAAAAGGATGGTTGGCATGTTGTATTGTGGTTTACAGCAAGGCTGTGATATCTGCGCTTTTCGGCAAAACATATCTATTTCCAGAAAACCACTAATTAGTCATCTTTGACGACATGCTCGTAGAGGAGCGGTGAAACTATACTATTCTTTTCCACCAAAACTGGGCTTGAGAATCCACATACTTGCTTACTTGTTGTACCCCACTAGGACATCACACAAGCGACAAACACCCGGTGACGCAAAGTGCCACCATGCCGATGAGGATCACCCGTGGAGAGGTCCCAGAAACCCCTTTCAGCTGTTATTGCCACATTTGTGGCCCAGCTATATTTAGGGCTCCCGACAGAAGCCTGGGTGGGGCTTCAAAAAACGAAAAATTGCATCTCACAAGGAGATAGATGACTAGTTAAGTCCACATAGGAAATTAGGTCATTAAATATCTTCTTCTTTCTGCTTCAGAGAATTGACTTCATTGCCCTGGGTTTTATCCCATTTGACTCAGTCTCTTTCCACAGAATGTCTAGCCGCTTGCCAAGAGCATAGAACAAAGCACAAACTCTGTAGCTCCTGCGACTATCTCTAGGGACCTCCATAAAAATTGCACTCGTGAACTGAGCGACGCAGCTGTGGAACGAACCCACAACCTTCAAAGCACAAGGTCAACGGCTTGACCACTCTGTTACGGAGACTCCAGTCATTAAACATGTCATTTTATGTGTTAACTATAGCTACATACCTGGGATGTTCCGATAATATCTGCCAAAGCCAACTGTGGGTGTGGAAGAGCTGGGTTCAACGGAAACGAGATGTCTGCGGTGTTTAATGGAATTTTCACATCCCAGCCTGGACTTAGCAGGGGTGGCAGAACACTTGTTTCATTCCCCGTCAACTGTATAAAAAAAATATATGTAATCACAGAAACAAACATGTAATGTTCAACATGACTTTTAAAAAAAAACTTTAACCAGGTATTAATGAAATAAAAACTATCAGATTTGAATTCCCAGGTCTACCCAGCTTAAAATGGGTACTTTGAAATGTAAAGTGTGTCCATGTGTTACTGGGGTACGTTAACTCTTTGAGTCCCAGGAGGTTTAGCATCACAGGCCCAGGGGGTAGTAAAGAAAGTAGTAAAATCAGCAAATCATGCATTCATTAGGCTTCGAGGTAGGAACCTATGAATGTATGATGCGTTCCTTGGGACTCAAAGAGTTAAGTTGTTCAGTCCTTAGGAACTCATTATATGGTGATAGGTTCCTACCTAGAAGCCCAATGAACGCAAGGTTTCTCTTTACCACCCCTTGGGTCGCTGATGCCAAACCCCCTAAAACTGAAAGAGTTAAGGAAGCAGACAGTAATACAAATATAACCTGCCATTCACTAGGGGGAGGGGGAAGGGGGTATGAGACTAGTTTCAACAATGAATCTTTAGGTTGGTATGAGACTAGTTTCAACAATGAATCTTTAGCTGCAAAATCCCAACAATTATGAACAGAGACTTTATGTGAGTTGATTAAGGGCTTATGCATCATTGGCAGGTGAAAGGTAGATGAAGAAAAAGAAAGTATGGTGAAAATAACTGAATTACCTTTTTACAAATAACCGCTAATCTAATAAAAATTGTAGTAGAAGTAGATTTTACCCCACTAGGACATCACACAAGTGATAAACACCCGATGACACAAAGTGCTACCATGTGGATAAGGATCACCCGTGGAGAGGTCCTGGAAACCGGGTTCAGCCATTAGACCATAAATGAATGTTATGCTTCTTAGCTGGGTCTTATCAAGCAATGAAAGCCACTCTGAGTGCAGGACACTAGTTTATATTTTCCCAAGTATGCTCTGTGAGTCAGTTACAATTGCAGATTGCCAGGCTGTACTATGGTCTAGTCATTGGAAAGCTGCTGTTATGCTTCCATCTCCATTCTCATGATACTGGTTTGAGAGCAATCAGCACCTCACCACCTGCTTCCATAAATGACAGAATCTCTCGAGATCTGCCTTATCCATCTCACAGATGTCATCTAATATCTCTGAGTCATTGCCCTTGTTGCTCTGGCCAGAATTTATTTCCGGTAGTCACAAACATTTCATATATTCTACTCGTAAGACAGAAATGTGATTTCTATTAGAGTTACATCAGCTAAGTATTTTTGTGTATTCTTGTTTGTATCTGTGGTACTGTAGATTTATGAAATGTATGAAGGATCTCTAGCTGCAACATTCACTCGCTGTTTGTGTGATTCTGTGAATCTGACTGGTTTTACAATTTGTTTGATCTGATACTTTTTCTGGGTATTCTCTTCCAACTTATTCTACTTAGTAAATAAAAACAATGGCTAAAAAAAAAAAAAAAAACATTTGCAAATACCTGAACACCGTTCAATTCCCAGATCAATACGCGGCTGTCGCTCATGATCAAGGAAATCATCCTCTCAGAAACAGGACACAGGGTAGCGCCATAGATTTTATTGTGCCTGGTCACCCGCAGGGGGTCAGACTGACAGCGCAGGTCATAAGCTACCTCCATGGACAGCTGTGTTGGTGTGTCATCTACAGCAATGTTCAGAGCAACACAAACTTTGAGATTATTAATGTAACCTAATGAATACATTCATGTTTGTTGACTGGTACACAAACAAGAGGAGGGAAAAGATATCAAAAGAAATTTCTTCTTTTTTTAAGTCAGTGGTGTCCAACCTCCCCCCCCCCCACCCCAACAAAATGATTAAAAATATAGTGACAAAAAGAAAAATCCCAATTACTGGTAACAAGAACTTGGACCCAAAAAGAAAAAAGAAATTCAAAGAGTCAACAATTAATAAATTAGGGAACAGATATCAATATGATGGTTGACACTGTTTTGTCATGATCATATCTGCTATTTTTGGTCTGAAGTTGGACAAGGCACAATGGAGATCACTCTGCAAATCAAGCTGGAAACGCTGTTTTGTTTTCAGGACTGTTAACACTGAAAATCTGAATTATTACAAGCACAAATGAACTCAATTTCAAAATACCTACAATTTTCTTTTTCACAATCCCCAGCTGTTAACTCCGGTGGAAAGTCCTGGTTGTTCGTCCACTTGTGGACTTTGGCATTGTTCCAGGACTTGAGTGTCATGTGTACATCCTTTTACAAATCTGGTGTCTCAGGCACATACTTCTGACTCTGAAGGAAATGTCAATCCTTACCACGCTGGCCAGGCTGCCAGTTGGGAACCAGTATTTAGGATGACCATAGGAAGGTGTAGACAGCATCGGTGACCGCGTCACCCATTAGCTCGCCGGTAGACCACTGTCACCCGTCTGGACAGTATTTGGGACCCGCGTCAACACTGCAAGAGTCTGTTTCAGGGCTTTTGGCGGCTCGAAATAATAAGCTATTTATATGGTACCAATAATCTAGTCACAATTATAACTTCGGGAATGCTGGCTGAATGTGAAGTTTTGATTTTTTCTCAAAAACTGATGATGACGATGAGGTGTACGATGATGAGGTGTACGATGATGAGGTGTACGATGATGAGGTGTATGATGATGAGGTCTATGATGATGAGGTCTATGATGATGAGGTCTATGATGATGAGGTGTTTGATGATGAGGTGTATGATGATTAGGTGTACGATGATGAGGTGTACGATGATGAGGTGTACGATGATGAGGTGTACGATGATGATGTGTACGATGATGAGGTGTATGATGATGAGGTGTATGATGATGAGGTGTATGATGATGAGGTGTACGATGATGAGGTGTATGATGATGAGGTGTATGATGATGAGGTGTATGATGATGAGGTGTATGATGAGGTGTATGATGGTGAGGTGTATGATGATGAGTTGTATGATGATGAGGTGTATGATGATGAGGTGTACGATGATGAGGTGTACAATGATGAGGTGTATGATGATGAGGTGTATTATGATGAGGTGTATGATGATGAGGTGTATGATGATAAGGTGTACGATGATGAGGTGTACAATGATGAGGTGTATGATGATGAGGTGTATGATGATGAGGTGTACAATGATGAGGTGTATGATGATGAGGTGTAGATAGGTGTTGACCAGTATGAGACATGGTCCTGATTCAACTGTGGGTGTGGTAAATTTTGATTTTATGGAAAAGGAGGAAAGTCATCATGAAATAAAGCTCCAATGAAGGAAAAGTCATCATGAAATAAAGCTCTAATGAAGGAAAAGTTATCATGAAATAATGCTGCACTGAAGGAAGGAGGAAGAAGGTCATCATGAAATAATGCTCCACTAAAGAAAGGAGAAGGAAAGTCATCATGAAATAAACCTCCAATGAAGGAAAGGTCATCATGAAATAAACCTCCAATAAAAGAAAGGTCATCATGAAATAAACCTCCAATGAAGGAAAGGTCATCATGAAATAATGCTCCAATGAAGGATAGGTCATCATGAAATAATGCTCCACTGAGAGGAGGAGGAAGGTCATGATGAAATAATACTGCACTGAGGGAAGGAGGAGGAAGGTCATGATGAAATAATGCTCCACTGAAAGGAAGAGGAGGAAGGTCATCATGAATTAATGCTCCACTGAAAGAAGGAGGAGGAAGGTGATCATGAAATAATGCTCCACTGAAGGAAGGAGGAGGAAAGTCACCAGAAATTAAGTTCCAGGAAAGGAAGGAGAAGGAAAGTCATCATGAAATAAAGCTCCAATGAAGGAAAAGTCATCACACAAAAAAGTTCTGTGGGAAGGAGATAATCATCATGTAAGTGATCTGGGAATGTGTATTAACTACATGTCCAATTTATTTTTCGGCAATGAGATACCTTTCGGTTTAAATTATTTTGTGGTTTCAATCTAAAATCTAGAGTGTTTCAAATTAACAACCCAATAATGTTTCAAACTGGGGGTCTCTGTGGCAAAGTGGCCATTTGCCTCGTGCTCTAAAAGTTGTGGGTTCATTTTACGGCTGCGTCATTCAGTTCACGGAGGGAGATCCCTGGGAATCATCGTTGGAGGATGCTCTTGGCAGGTAGCTAGCTGTTCTGCAGAGAGAGAGGTCAAGCCATATGGGATAAAGCCTGGTGCAATGAAGTCAATCTTCTCGACTTTATTCTTTTAATATTTTAAATTAACAACTCAATAAACATTTACAAACACATAACAAAACACTACAAGAAAAAGAACTAGTTGTCTGTACCAAATGCTCCATGACCTTCTGGAGCTGGTGTAGTGACTGCATTGTTCCTTCTTCTGACTCTCATGGAGACACTCCCATTCTCATGCAGGCACATTAACACGTCCCTCTGCCAGCAAGATATCACCTGAAACATGCACAATGAAATCTAAATACATCCTTCCCATTTCTGAGGTTCCTAGTATGATTACTTCAATTTATTCTATGAGCCACTAATGGGGTTCCTAGTATGATTACTTCAATTTATGCTATAAGCCACTTGTGGGGTTCCTAGTATGATTACTTCAATTTATTCTATGAACCACTTGTGGGGTTCCTAGTATGATTACTTTAATTTATTCTATGAACCACTTGTGGGGTTCCTAGTATGATTACTTTAATTTATTCTATAAGCCACTTGTGGGGTTCCTAGTATGATTACTTCAATTTATTCTATCAGCCACTTGTGGGGTTCCTAGTATGATTACTTCAGTTTATTCTATAAGCCACTTGTGGGGTTCCTAGTATGATTACTTCAATTTATTCTATAAGCCACTTGTGGGGTTCCTAGTATGATTACTTTAATTTATTCTATAAGCCACTTGTGGGGTTCCTAGTATGATTACTTTAATTTATTCTATAAGCCACTTGTGGGGTTCCTAGTATGATTACTTTAATTTATTCTATAAGCCACTTGTGGGGTTCCTAGTATGATTACTTCAGTTTATTCTATAAGCCACTTGTGGGGTTCCTAGTATGATTACTTTAATTTATTCTATAAGCCACTTGTGGGGTTCCTAGTATGATTACTTCAATTTATTCTATGAGCCACTTGTGGGGTTCCTAGCATGATTACTTCAATTTATTCTATCAGCCACTTGTGGTGTTCCTAGTATGATTACTTCAATTTATTCTATAAGCCACTTGTGGGGTTCCTAATATGATTACTTCAATTTATTCTATGAGCCACTTGTGGGGTTCCTAGTATGACTACTTCAATTTATTCTAATAGCCACTTGTGGGGTTCCTAGTATGATTACTTCAATTTATTCAATGAGCCACTTGTGGGGTTCCTAGTATGATTACTTCAATTTTTTTTCTATGAGCCACTTGTGGGGTTCCTAGTATGATTACTTTAATTTATTCTGACTAATACCATTTTGACTAATTCTATTTACTTCCAGACCTTTAAAAAAAAAAAAAAAAAAAAAACAATCACTCTCATATGTGCCACCTACCCTTATGCTCATGTACACACAAACACCTTCTACTTTAACTTTTGAGACTTCTATTATGCCTTGTTGGGTCACCATACAACTTTAACAAACTGTGATTATTCAGAGCTGTCGTGTTCCTAGATATTCTGGTACACTGACATTTTTTAGTCTTTCCTCTTGTGTCGAGTGCGGCACATAGGGCAGAGGTCATGACTCTCCATGCATGGCGGTTCGTTGCAATCCGTTGTAGGTCTTGGATGTTTGAGTGGCCCATGAGCGAGCCTTCCCTGATGATAGTTCTACGTAGGGTTTCCCTTGGTCTTCCACCAGATCTTTTCCCCTGTGGTGTCCAAATGAGGGCTTGGTAAGGAAGTCTTGATTTATCCATTCTAAGGGCGTGGCCGACATAGTTCCAGTGGCGTTTTCGTATAAAATTTGACACATACTCTTGCCTGGATTCTTGCCTTATTGGTGTATTTGTTCGGAAATCTGACCATTTGCAGAAGTGCTGCAGATAATAATATCAATGGCATCCGTGAGTCCCTAAGGACTACATGGGGGAGGGGGGGGGGGGGGATACACACATGTGTTTCAGAAATAAAAGGTTAACAGTTCTTACCATCGTGAAGGAGGAGCTGGATCTGTCTAGTGCAATAATTCCGACAGTCTGATTGATCTCCAGGTCCAAAATAAGCATCTCTCGAGGGTAGAGCAACATCAGGTGGTGGCGACATGAATGATGAAAGCAAAGCTGAAGACACTCATTCAAGGACACTATCTCTTCATCTGGCGAGCTCCTAATTGTTTCCAAAAAAGTACATTCTGATATTAACATACATGCTTCTGTAAATATTAAACATACACTGTTAAATATTAGTAAAGTAAAATGTAGAAGATTCTTTTCCTCACTTTCAGGCGTATTGGGCATATAGGGCTAGACCCATATTTTATAGACCAGTCAGTACTTGATGGCTGATGTGGTCAGATCCACACCCGCCAGCTTTACTTACCAGGACTATACCTGGTACCCACTCAAGGCTGGGTCCACATGAGAGTCAAGGTCATTATTGAAAAAAAGAAAAAAAGTCAGACATCGCAAGTACCCGAATCCATGCCTTCTGATCCTCAGGCTAGCATCCAGCTGCTACATCACAACAGCTCCCGTTAAATATAAGGGAACCTATTTTTTTTTTATACGCAGTCAAGAAAAATTATCTAGTCTTCTTAAACACTGGTCTCTATTAGTCTCTACATCCCTTTATTAGAATGTCTTCAGTTAGTCTCTACTGCCTTCTCCTAAGTTGTCGTCTGTCACACTCTTTTCTGTTAACTGCCTTCTGTTAGTGCTGCTGTGGCACTGTCCTCTATTAGTCTCTACTGCTATTACACTGTCCTCTATTAGTCTTTTCTGCTGTTACACTGTCCTCTGCAGTCTCTACTGCTGTTGCACCATCTTCTGTTGTTTATACTGCTGTTACACTGTCCTCAAAGAGTCTCTACTGCTGTTATAGTGCCTTCTGTTGCACTGTCTTCTGTTATTCTATCTTCTTTAAATGTCTACTGGTGTAGCAATGTCCTTTTTTTAGTCTTGGCGACTGTTACACTGTCTGTTACTCATTACCGCCTTCTGTTAGTCTCCACTTCTCTACTGTCCTACGTTATTCTGTTCTCTGTTGTTTTTCACCTCTCTCAGAAATACAACATTCTACTGCACTAAATATTTTCACTTATCTCGCTGTCTTATTTGGGTTGCTGCTTTTCATAAATGACAAAACATTAACACTAACAATGTTTTAAATGAAGGTAAATACCCAACTTACTTTGGTTTGCTTTCTCCAAGTATTCTGCTCATCCTTTTAGCAAGGTTCTTTGATGAAGATGTTGAGGTTGTGGAAGATTTTCTTTCCAAATTATTTGCACTTGATGATCGGGACATTCCTACAGCTTCAAAGAACAAAATATTTCAGTGGTGAATGAAAACAATTTACCTAGATGAAAACAATCAAAACAAACAGAAAAAGTCCCACATGTTCTGACATTCTTTTTAATGGGTTCTTTTCATCATTTGTTGCTGCAATCTCTTTTCATAATGTTCTCTACAATCTCTTTTCATAATGTTCTCTACAATCTCGTTTAATAATGATGTTCTACTTCCTCTAACTAGAGGCATCTGTGGCTTAGGCGTTGCGAGTCCGACTCGTAATACCATCGTACCGCCATCCAAACCCACTGCTGGCTGCGTTGAATGTTTTCATGGTATGGAGTGTCGCTGGTTGACCCAGACTAAAATGGGTACCAGGAATTATATCCTGGGGAAAGTAAAGACGGCCGGCATAATGCTGACCACATTACCCACTTAGTGCCGACTGGTCTGTAAAAATATGAGTGCTCTTCCCATATGCCCGATGCACCTAAAGGCGTGAAAAGGGATCTTTACTTTTTACTAACTTACTTCTTCCAACACAGTAAAACCTCCAGATTAACATCTATAATGAAAGCAGTAAACAGTCTCAGGTTTATAACATCTCACAGTCTTTGGTAAAACTAAGTTAGCTGACAACACTACAATTGTTTACAATCATTACTGTAGGCTGAGCAAGGCTGTAGACAGCTATATATGAAATTCAAGATAACACTTCACTGCGCCTCTCTACACAGTATGATCAAAAGCGTCTTTCTCTGAGTTGAGTTTGTCCTCTTCTGTCTTCTTTATGTTCACCAGCTGTAGACTCCAGCCGGAAGTTCCAGGTGTTCGTCCATTTCTGGACTTTAGTCTTGTTCCAGAATTTAAGTTTGTGTGTGTGCACATCTGTCTACAGATATGGCTATTTGTGTGCAGACTGTTGGTTTCTCGCCTCATTTACACACAGGCTTAAAATGAAAATCTATAATCAGTCACCTTTTACGACATGCTTGTTAATGTGCCAGTGGGTCTACCCCACCCTCCCCCCCCCCACCCCAATTTTTTTGGGTCAGGGGTGAGGAATCTTTATTTTTCTGCCAAGGGTCATTTGGATATTTATTTGAAGAAAAACAATCATTTGTGGACCAAACAATATTATCAACGCAGAAAAATTAACCTGGCTACATTATCTTGGCAAAAAAATTACTGAACTATTTTATCACGTTTCTCTGGCAAAACAAAGAGTTATTAAAATAAATAAAATTGTCTTCAACATGAACAACAAAGTGTCTCCAACATAAACAACAAAGTGTCTCCAACATAAACAACAAAGTGTCTCCAACATGAACAACAAACTGTCTCCAACATGAACAACAAACTGTCTTCAACATGAACAACAAACTGTCTCAGACATGAACAATAAACTGTCTCCAACATGAACAACAAACTGTCTTCAACATGAACACAAGCAATCAATGAGAACAACACTTACCCTGGCTTGGATTAGAAATGTAGAATTTCTTCCCATTGCTTGATGGGGTTTTGTTGATTGTGAAGTCAGATACAAACACAATACAGTCCTGACCAAGAACTGCAAATGACAGATTATCAGTATTTCAGAAATTATTTCTCTCTCTCTCAAACTCTCAGAAGGGCTGAATGTAAAACAGGCCTGCATGCATAATGTGTAACCCTCTGAAAATAAACTTTGTTCGTTCGTTCTCTCTCTCTCTCTCTCTCTCCGTATGTGAGCATGTGTATACACTGAAAACATATTGCTATCAATATACTCCAATCTCAACATGTTTATAAAAATACTTTGAATTAAATATCAATGAGCTCTTCTGCTCATTCTGCATTGCAGTTCTCCCATTCAGGAATGTAATCCTCAGGATTAACACCTCAAGGGTGAGAGTCCTACACGAAGAAATCCTGGTCTTCTTTCCTTCTTCTGCCTTTCTAACTCCTAATGATTCACAGGTCCTCCACCAACTCATCTATCCTTCGCTATCACATGCAGCTCTCGCCACCTTTTTAACTTCACTCTCTAGCTCTCTTTTCCATGTGTTGTTTAGTCTTCCTTTATTTATATGACCCTGTGGGTTCCAGTGCAAAGATATTATTGTTATTTTGTTCTCAGATTTTGTTCAACTTGTGTCCTATCCAAAGCCAGCATCTTTTCTTCACCTCTTGGTCCACTAGAACTTGTTTAGTTCTCCCAGAAAAATCCTGGTAAACTCCATTCAACTGTAAGGTTATACTGGGACCCTCAACCTTTATACACTGCGGCCCACCAAATCATTGGACATTTTTTTGCAACCCACATGACAGCTAATCAAACACAAAATATTGTTACAGATTAAAATGTTTCAGCAAATGTGACATCCGTTGCTACTTAAACTTTAAAAATTTGTTACATGTGGCTTCAGCGTTTGTTTCTGATATACAAAGCTCAATAACATCTATTTGCTTTCTCCATTTGGTTTTTGAGTTTTCACAGAAACAGGAAATCCATGAGGTGTTAATCCTACAGACTGGAAGAGAAGAACAAACTACCCGACCTCATTAGGTGATTTGTTGGTTACATAGACTCTCCCGGGGCCCATCAATCGGTTGAAGAACACTGCAGCAGACTAAAAGTGGTACTTACATGCCAGGTTCTTGCTGTTGAATGGGTCAAACGTAAAGCTCAGCAAATTTTCTGTGTACGATTTCTTCCACAGCTTAATGCCTGTATCAGCATTCCACAGAATAAGTGAGTACGGCGGATGCAGGCAAACAAGAAGATCTCGACAGGCATCCTGGTTGCTCAGCCATTGCATCCCTATTAAAAAGCAAATATAACATCACAATGGTACCCAAAGTAGCAATGGCAACTAAACAATAATCAGACTGAGCTCACTGTGCTGGTTCCAGGATCCCATATTGGGGATGGGGAGGGAATAATAAACCCATTAACCCACCACCCCCCCCCCCTACCCCTACCCCAACCAAACAAGCGTGGTGTAAAGGGTTTTGTTTTAGAAGTAGGAGTGCATCTGACTGTGATCTGAGGAACTAACAGTCTGCATACAAAAAAAAGCTAGATCTGTAAAACAGATGTGCACGCAAAACTCAAGTTCTCTAACAAGAGCAAAGTCCAGAAGTGGATGAACAACCAGAACTTTCTGCCAGTTTACAGCTGGTGAAGACTGAGAATGAAGAAGAAGACTATGCCAACCAGGTTATTTATCACAGATGTCTAATGAATTTCAAACACAGTCCTAATTAGGAAAACAATCCCATATTATGTAAACAAAAGGATCACTTAGTTTTCTTAGAACTTCCTTACTGAGGTGTAAAGTACAACAATAGACTGTGATTTGTATATTTCAGTTAAAAGGATTTACTTCTGTTCTTCATTAAATGCTGATGTAGATTCTATTGTAGCACCCTAATGCAGCAAAATATGACCGATAATAAATCGTGCAATATATTGTATTTGCCAGGGAACCACCATGGTCTAACAGCTACATGCTCGCCTGCAGATCGGAAGTTTGTGGGTTCGGCTCCTCACTGGGTCTGGACTTTTTTTCAAAAATGACCCTGGCTCCCAGGTACAGTACTGGGAAGTAAAGGCAGCCGGTGTGATGCTGACCACATCACCCACCAAGTGCTGTTTGGTCTATAGAATATCGGTCAAGTCAAACTAAATTGTTTTTGTTCTCATTATTGACATTTACAACAGAAAAACAAAACATATCCTGGGGTTGCAGTGCGCCATAGGGAGGCATGTGAATGTTGAATTAGGAATCGACATCACAGCATTCGGGACACTCCCAAAAGTGCTCCGTCCCCATCTTTAGCAGCAAGCAAACAGTTCCAATTCCGATGGCACTAATAACCATCTGATTGCATATCCGTCTCATCCTTTCCCTAACTGTCAAGCATCGCCCAGATCCCCTGGTACCTCCTTGCAGTGCCATTCTTCTCAGACTGAAATGATCTATCTGCGCCTCCGCACTGTTCACTCATTCCCAAAGGGCCCTCCCAATATCTAGCTTGTCATACATCAATTCATCACCAAGTGGTGCAGAGCCAGCCAGTCTATCTACCTGCTCATTTCTCAACACACCGGCATGACCTGAAGAAAATATCCAAAGAATGCTAACTACCAAGAACCTCTGAAGTGATGCCATTCTGCACGAAGCATGCCTGTCTTCACCTTTCTTAACATGCTCTGTGAATCTGTTACAATCATGGCATGTGTGTACAGCAGATTCTCAAGCCAGCGGAAGGCAGCAGAGACTGCCTCCAACTCCATTCTCAAACTAGACGTTATGATATAGGAAGGCATGTGAGTCACAGCTAAAGATAATACCAATTAAGGCCAGGGATGAAGTTTCTCCTCTCCAGGACACAAAGTAGTTTTGTGTTTGTCATCCAGCATGATCCTTGTCTTAGTCTGTTTTGTTAATTTCAAAAGAAAGGTAACCAGAACATGTATGGAATAAAGAATGCTGGAGACGCTGTCAGATCAGAAGAGCAGTGTGTCTCTGTGGGTGGGTGTGTGAGTGTGTCTGTGGGTGGGTCCGTGTGTGCATGTGTGTGTCTCCATGCAAGCCTTTATATATGCCTGTATATACATATGTATGTATGCATGCATGCATGTATGTGTGTAAGTGAGTTGGTGATTGTGTGAATATGGGTGTTTGTATGCACGCGCAGGTTTTTGAATGCACTTTACAACTCATGCTTTTGTGTTCTTTTATGATATTCATAATATATATATTATCATATTATCATATGATCATAACATGCTTTATTAGTAAAATACAGCTGCTGTGCGAAAGATGGTTGACTGGAACGGCCTGTGTGCCTAATTTGTGACCCTTTGAAAATAAAGTTTGTTAGATTGTTCGTTTGTTTGTCATAACATTAAGTTTTGATAGAGCCATTACACACTGGTTGGTACATATGAATAACAGCCAATCACAAACGGCACTTTTGTAACTACACTTAACAGAATGGCAAATCATACTTGGGGCATTAACTGGTAAAGAAAAAAAAATCATGCAAGATTAATTAGCAAAGAAAAACTAATCACATGCGCACAATAACTGGTAAAGAAAAACCAATCACAGAATGATACACTTAAGGAGCAGTCAATTACACATAGTGCATTGCATCTGACTAAAAGTTATTTTTTTTAAGCTTTACAACCTTACCCAAAATTGGTTTGTTTCCATCAGTAAATTCTGATCTCACAGCTCCCATACCTACATCCCACACAATGATCTGTCCATGTGTGTCTGAGGATGCCAGGCGCAAAGTGTACGGAGAGTAAAGGTCATGGTGATAATGTTCGTGTGCCCATTTGACCTGGACATGACAGGAAGTGGGAAAAACATTAGATGACACTAGTCGGCTTCAAAAGTGAACGCCCGAACTGCAATGTGCTCTGCTAGGGGTTTGTTTCTACACGCCACATTGCTGTATTGACGAACACTTAGTTACTATGACACACCAGAGACGAATGTTCAGTTATAGACCTTTTTTCGTTGGATCAAACATCTCACTGACACTGCATTCTTTCGTCCTCGTGGTGGTTATGCGTGGCTGATTTCTGATGACCTGGCCAATTCTCTCGCACACTGCTTTGATCCATCCGTATCTCTCGAATCACACATCCATCTCATACTAAAGCCTTGTACCTGGTATTAGTACAGGTTGCAACTGGCAATCAGAAAACATTCATGTCTTCTCTCGAACAGTTATATGTTGTCACAAGTTTCCATTCTAATCAGGTGTTCTCTCGCCTACGACTTCTCGCAACCAGGTCCAAACTTCAACTGTCTTACTACCGTCTCTCGGTTCACGTCTTCCGTTCCAGTCTCACTCTTTTCTTGTATCCCTTATTCGCTCCCCATGGGATACTCAAGACCCACTTATCTCATTTTTCTCTTGTACCACTGGTCTTCTGACCTTGTCCTCCCCATCGGGAACTCTCTGGGATTTCCCCGGGAATTCACAACATAACACGAACAATGAGGTCTGTGAATGCTTTAGACCAGTGTTACTCAACATTTTCACAGCCGCGGCATACCAGAATGGGGCAATTTGTTTCATGACCCACCTCATCATCATCAGGTGCCTTACCGACTGGCGCGGGTGATCATGCCTCTCCACAATCTGTAATCCCCTGTGGCATGTAACAGCTCGTGTGCTGACACACCTCCATGCCATGCAACGAGACTGTCAAGAATCTTCTCTCGTTGTCTTCCTCTTTTCCTCCTTCCACAGATCTTTTCAGTGGTCACAACATGTTCCAGTTTCCCTCTTCTCATAACATGGCCGAAAAATGATGACTGTCTCCTTCTGATGTCTGTAATAAGTTTTCTTCGGGCACCCGCCTCTTTCAAAACCTCTTGGGTACTTTTTTTGGCATTCTTCTGCAAAAACTACATCTCTGAGTCCTCAAGAAATTGTTTGGCCTGCCTACCGATTGTCCAGGACCCACAGCCATATGTTAAAACTGGATGTATTTAGTAAGTAAGAATTATTTTTCTAACCCTCAATGACAGAGATATATTGCATAAACACCAAACACAGAAAACAAACACAAATTTAGCCAACAGTTTACTTGTTGCACTAGAGGTTATTTGCGTATCCTTTACAGGACATTGCAGAACCAACCCCAGCAGCCCCTGGCTGTTGTATGGTTTCTCTAGGCAGATTTACGTCCAGTAGTTTGCCATTGCTTTCTGGATGGTCGGCCCCCTGATACCACTGTCGAAACCAATGCAAGGCGCATGGCCTGCAGCTGGGATCGAACCTGGCACCCCGGCATTACGAAGCGTTCTCATCGACTTAGCCACAGTGCTGACACTTGTTGAACTAGATGTCACAAAATTACAAGCTTTTGGTGCCAGCACGTTTTTTTGGCTGCCATTCTTCCACCTATGTACAACCACACAATGATGATTATTTACAAGATTACACAATTTTTTTATCCTTGAAATTGGTTCTCCATTCAATTTAGTGCAAAACCGCAAAATATGTTGGGTTTGTGTTAAATAGTTCTAAAGCTACGAAATTTTTTTTAATAGTCTATATTGCTGTTTGCAAAAAAAAAAAAAAAAAGGGTTATGGCTGCATTTTTTTGCACCAATCTACAGCTATATGATGATGATGTCAAACAAGATCACACAGCTCTTGTTCTTGAAATATTTTCTCAATTTAATCTGGTGCCAAAATAAAAAAAATATAAGTTTACGTTAAATAGTTGTTATGCTACTATATTTTAAATAAAAGATTACAAAAATACAACTGTGGAGTTTACAGCCTGTGAACAGAACGACATTCTGTAAACGACTTGCTGACTGATGGTGATGATGAACGCAGAGAAGAAGAAATGAACATCAAAATGTTTTTTGAAAGTTCAAGAAGGCAAGCATGATAGAGACAACATCACTTAGAGGAAAGGCAAGACGGACATATAACCAAATTGTGACTAGTAAGACCAGCATTGGAACTCTGCACTGGCTGCTGAACATGAGGATGGAGCACGCATGGAAATACCTAGAGTGCTGTGATGTCAATTCTTGACTCAACTCAACACACATCAAATGACACTTGGTTTAACTTATTTCCACTTCTCCTTTTTGCACACATGAGTGCCCATCAATAAATTATAATTTGTTTATCATCTAAAGCTATATTTAAATATATACATGCAACGTGTCACTTGGGATGGAAATTGGATCTTCAGCTCTCATAACTTGTTGTTTCTGTTGGTAGCATTCTCTGGCTGTAGATAGTCCTGGCTGTTCATCCACTCTGGCATTCAGATTTGTTTCAGAAACTGGGTGCTGCGTACACATCCATTTTACAGACATGGCTTATTGTATGCAGACTGCCCTTGTGAAATGACTTCTTCAGCTCCTGTAATTTGGTCTTTTTAGTCATACAATGGACTCCATGCTTGTTACAAAGAAATTATATCGCTGTGATTTTTCATCAGTTTCTTTTACACCAATGTTAAGAAAAGCTTATAGTAAAGAAAAGCCATTAACATGGTGTAAACTGATAGTTACCTGAGTTACTACACCTTTGTGCTTGTCTAACACCTGAATTACCTGGCAAAGAAAAAAAGAAAAAAACATGCAACTCAAATAAAATTTGTACTAATAAGCTCAAATTTCAATCCAAATTATTACTAAACTAAACATTAGAGCAGAATGCTGGAGAATGACCAAAAAGGATGTACACAAGCTGTCCACATTCCACCACACATCTACGTAGAATTATCAAAATTTTCTGGTCAGATACAATCTTAAACGCTAAACTACTTCAAGTCACAAACCAAGAAATTCTAGAGTGTATGATAACCAAGAGAAGATGGAAATGGCTTGGCCACGTTATGAGAATGAATCCTGATATACCTGCCAAAACAGCTCTCACATGGATACCAGAGGGAAAGAGTAAAAAAGGGGCGCCCAAAAACAACATGGAGATGAACCATGGAAAGTGACCTGAGTGTGGCATCTTTGACATGGAAAACTGCATTGAAGATTGCACAGGACAGGAAAGCATGGAAAGTCCTCCCTGAAGCCTCATGTGCCACTAGGCATAACGAGAACTGATGAAACATCAGAGAAGACTGTAATATGTTGAGTTCATCTCGGTGAAGCTGCCAAAGAAAGGGTACCTTCAGGAGTGTGATCATTTTATAAAGATGACAATAGGAAGGACAGCTTGGCAGGAATTGCTGACGGTCCTTGCTTCAAGAGGGGTGAAGAGCTGAGGGTGTTGGAATAATGGGTACAATAAGACATTAGCTGTCCATTCACTGTATATACTTCATACACACACAAAAAAGCTGCATCAGCTGTTGTTCCATGTACGCTGGCAATAGTTTCATATATTACTACATCTAATAGACATATAAACATTGTAAATCTATCAGTTTACGCTGTTCTGTGTTATTTTTCTTATTTTTGCATTTTAAAAGGAGAGAAAATCACTCACCTGTACTGTTTTAGGCTCCACTATTGTGACCAAATTTTGACATCCGTATGCTAAGCAACCTTGCCATCCCCTAAAAAATACATTTGAGAGACTTTGAAAAAGAAATTTTAAAAAATGGGGGGGGGGGGATTTTGAGCTAAAATGCTACAGAAAGATTCCCAGAAGACTATGGACCAAGAAAAGAAAAAAAAAAAAGAAATACTGACATAGAAAAATAAGAAAATCAAGAAAGACTGGCTATTAAACAGCAAACTGTCTCAGAAACTGAAATATGTTGGGCATATCAAGCACCATGGCAGATCAGAAAGCCAGCAGCAGAAGGCATGGTACCAGGAAACTGGGAGCAGGAGCCAACCAGCATGAAGATGGGCACAGGATATAAGTGACACCTCTGGTAGGAGAGTGCACAAGGTAGGAAATCTCGCTAGGAACTGAGTTTCTTTCAGTCAGGTTGTGATGAGAGTGACATTCTGAACAGAAATTGCTATATGATGATGAGAGACTTTGATATGTGTTGCTTAATAGCATGAAAGCCAACTTGTCAAAGCTAATTTGTTTTTAACTGAAAATTTAGAAATTTGCTAAGCAATAGCCTGAAAGCCAACTTGTCAAAACTAATTTATTTTTAATTGAAAGTTTAGAAATTTGCCAAGCAATATGCTGAAAGCCAACTTGTCAAAGCTAATTTTTTTTTTTTTCACCTAAAGTTTAGAAATCTGCCAAGCTTAATAGCATAAAAGCCAACTTGTCAAAGCTAATTTATTTTCCAGTGAAAGTTTAGAAATCTGCCAAGCAATAGCCTGAAAGCCAACTTGTCAAAACTAATTTATTTTTAATTGAAAGTTTAGAAATTTGCCAAGCAATAACCTGAAAGCCAACTTGTAAAAACTAATTTATTTTTAATTGAAAGTTTAGAAATTTGCCAAGCAATAGGCTGAAAGCCAACTTGTCAAAGCTAATTTCTTTTTTCCACCTAAAGTTTAGAAATCTGCCAAGCTTAATAGCATAAAAGCCAACTTGTCAAAGCTAATTTATTATCCACTGAAAGTTTAGAAATCTGCCAAGCAATAGCCTGAAAGCCAACTTGTCAAAACTAATTTATTTTTAATTGAAAGTTTAGAAATTTGCCAAGCAATAGGCTGAAAGCCAACTTGTGAAAGCTAATTTTTTTTCACATAAAGTTTAGAAATCTGCCAAGCTTAATAGCATAAAAGCCAACTTGTCAAAGCTAATTTATTTTCCACTGAAAGTTTAGAAATCTGCTGAAGTGCATATTGTTACTATGACTAAAAACAGTAGTAACAGCCATGGAAGCATGGCATAGTGGCTGTCATGCTTGCCTACTCCTAGGTTTGATTTGGCATCGAAGTGAATTTGTGAACCGGTCTGGGTTTCCGGCCATTATCATTTTTATTACTGTCCTATTGTGATATTATTTTTCACATAGGGCTCAGCCGGATGTACCAGTCACATACCACCAAACAGAAAAGAATAAATAAATCGATAAGGAAACCACCAGCCCCAGCACAAGACGACTATTTTATAATGGACAGACCAGATCAAGTCATTATCCTCCGCCTCAGAACAGGGCACAACCGATTACGTAACCGCATGTACACAAAATTCAAGATAGGTATATCAGCCATGTGCACATGTAGAAAGGTGCCCCAGACAGCAAAGCATGTACTCCAGGACCACCAAATTTGACATATTAGGGCAAACCTTTTGGCCAGAAAGAACAACAGTGGAATGTAAACTCTATGGACCACTGAATGAACTAACAACGACAGTGAAATTTATACAAGAGACAAAACTGCTGATATAGACAACTTATTTCAGCTGAACGAAAGAAGAAGAAGAAGACATAGGGCTCACAGTCTACTCCTTCATTCTGTTCTCCCCTGTGCAGTCCTGGATGTAGTAACCCAGTCCAGCACCTTTGGTCTCTCTCTTCGACATTCATTTTAGGGTTTTCTTTTGGATGTCCTCGCCTCCTCAGTCCCTTTATTTCAAAATGTAATGCCTGTCTGGCGATTCTCTGTTTGTTTCTTCTCAGCATGTATTCAATATAGCATCAGCTTCTTTGTCTTATAACTACTTTTCACAGTGGTTGCCCAGCCATTTCTTTTCTTTTCACTCCTCTTGAATTCATAACATTGTATGATTAACATTTCCTCAGGCATTTGTTTTCAAATACATTCAACTTTCAATCATTCCATGTCTTTAGTGGTCTTCAACTTTCACTGGCATTTGTTAAAACTGATATAAAAATATTTAACTTGGTTTCAAAACTATACTATGTAGGGTTTCATATTCGTTTCATCATGATTTTAAAAGCTGCTGATGCCTTGTGTGTTATAATTTCTGCCTTTGTACTATTACTTGACTATTACTACTATTACCTAAATAATCCACACACACACAAAACCGATCTGGTACTTTGAATCTGTACGTCTCTAGTGTTACAGCTGCTTGGTCTGTTATTGATCCATAGATCAACCTAGCTTAAAAAGAAGGTACCAGAAAATGTGATGGGAACTTAAGGTGTTTGGGTGGCGTGCCCTCATCACACACAGAGTATCTAGTGGTTTATGCCTCAGGTGTTAGAATGGCCGTCAACATTTTTATTTTATTGTAATGACAGCAGAGGACACCTAGCAGACGACACAATAAATAATTCGACAAGCACACATGAACGCTGTTGTTATATCAGTGCCAATTACTTCTTTTAACTGGAGTAATCACTCGTCGTATAATAATATTATATGTTCCCACACTATCATATCTTTACTTTCAAATTTGTGGACCAAAGGCCAAGTTTCCGATCCTCAAAAATTGGAAAAATAAAATAACAATAAGCAATGTCGGCGAATTGACATTGCAACGAAAAGTCACGGAATTTACCAGTCACATGCATCCTTGTTGTGTGCGTGCAGGGCACCTGTGATTATCTTTGGATATAACTTCATTTTCACAAGAAAATTAGCTATTTCATCGCCTGAAAAAACAACAAAATGAAAGAGATAACAACACCTATCTCTCCCACTTTTGTTGACTCGGAGGCGGAAGTGAAGAAACACAGGCCAGATTTTATCAATACGCACTGAATGTACGTCCCAGCTGTGGACGATTTGCCTTGTGTTGGTTCGACAGTGGTACCGAGAACTGACCGTTTAGCGAGCAATGGCAAACTACTGCATGTACAGTTTGGTTCTGCAATTACCTGTAAATGATACGCAACTAACTTATAACTGACTGTATTTGAATTGCCTTTTTAACTACGATAAATCAGTAGCAAATAAGTATTAACAAAAGGGCAGACTATACTGGAGGAAATATGGGATTCCAAAAGGACTCCTCTCAATAAATATATGATACACTGCAATAAGCCTATGACAATAGAAAACATGTTGTGAGTAGATGACTCTAGAGAATTATAGGGAAGGATTAAACAGTCCCAAGGACACTGGTCGGCATATGAGATGTTGATATTGTTAAGAAGTAATGCTGTTATCCCTTTTTGTCATAAATATCCATAAAGACAGAATTATAATTTAAACAATTACCGTAATTGTTTGAAAGTACACGTAAAATATACTGAACTTGACAATCCATCCTTTGTCATCTAATTATGTACATAGGTGACATCAAATCACTGGTTTAAACAAATGTATATAAGAGGAATGGTCCTTAAACTGGGGTAGAAGTTTAAAGTGTAGACATTCATAAAAGTTATTAAATGCTCATCAAAGACAAAGTCAGATAACAGATGAACTTAAAATAACATGCAATCAAAAATTGCTTAGACTATAACTTGGAAGAAGTTGCTTTACCATGCAGGACAAAAACCTGTGACCTATGTCAGAAGTACAATAATATAGAGCACTATGTAAAAAAAAAAAAAAAAGTAAAGTAAAGATCCCTTTTCACGCCTTTCGGCGCATCGGGCATATGGGCAGAGCGTCCCATATTTTTACAGACCATCAGCCCTCTGTGGTGTAATGTGGTCAGCATTACGCCGGCTGTCTTTACTTTCCCAGGACAGCCCATCCTGGTACCCATTTTAGGCTGGGTCGACCTGCAACGTCCCATACCACGATAAAAATCCGCGCAACCTGCAGTGGATTTCGATCGCGGTATGCTGGCTAACGAGTCGAGCACTATGTACTGGAGTGAAAAAAAAATTGAAAACCATTAACAGACTATTTGCATCTCCGCAAGTTATCAAGGACATTGGATCTTGCTGCGCGTAGACAGCCCCAGAGACCTGCGTGGAAAGGTCAAGCAATTTATTAGTAGAACTAAAATCTATATATAGAAGGATAAAGAGTGTCAATGCCATCTTTGAAGAAATTTCTCCTAAAGATAACCCCGTAAGGATAATCAGTTATTATACTAAGGGTATAATAAATCGACCATTTTAGTGACACAATGTTAGAAAAATTATCTAATTGTTCTTAGTACAACATAGAAAAGATTCTAGCACGTTGAATCTTTCCAGCGCAGCTTTATTTTTGAATGTGTGTACCAAATTTATTGACTACCTCTTTCAGTTCCAATTTCCCCGTTTGGATTCCGGGGCCCTATTATAGGGAAAACAAGACTAGAACCACTGCCTACCAAAAAGCATGTCGTAAGAGTCGACTAATTGGGAGCTTCCTTTGAAGTCGGAGTGCATCTGCCTGAGAGGCAAGGAACCAGCAGTCTGCACACAAATGAGTCCGATCTGTAAAACGGATGCACACGCAACACTCAGGTTTTGGAACAGGACTGCAGTCCAGAAGTGGGTGAACAACCAAAGCTTTCCGCCAGAGTTTACAGCTGGTGACCGCGAAGAATAAGAAAAAGAAGTTCCAGGTTGTTTTAACTCCAAAACTTTTTTAACTGCTGTGATTTAGTGATGTATAGCAACTGTCTTTGAATAATATTAGTTCTTAAACCCTTGAACTCCGTAGCAGCGACGAGGATCCTGAAATACTTTGGGTAAATTTTTAACTCTAAATTTTGCCCGGGCAGCACCGTTAGGCTACTCTTTTCCATTTCCGACTGCCAAAAGATTTTTTTTACGTGCGCAACAGTACACAAGAGTGTCCGATCTTATTACCCAGAGACCACTTGAAATTACTAGATGGCCACGTGAAAAAGTCCCAGCCCTTGCCGGGACCTAAACCAGGGACCTCCAGCACTCGAGGCGGACGCCATGCTTAGCCCCCCCCCCCCCCCCCCCATCCCTCCTCCCTCGTTGATGTTGTTGTTGAGCAAAGCAAGCAAAAGTAAACATTTAAGTTCTTCTTGGCTAGTTGAAATTTTCTCCCACACGACAAAATGCGTTGATTGGACTGCATTAACAAGACTGGACATTTCGCAACGTACATCCCACATCGTGTGAAAGAGACACTGCTGGGGTAGCCCCGACATGGTGTACACTTGTCAACAATGTGTGATTAAGAGCTCAGCTCGCTGTACACGTGTGAACAAAGGGAGATTAAATCCTCTTCCATAAACCTGACAATCATCTAAAACAGCGGTTCTCCACCCGTGGGTCGAACAATCCTTTCACAGGGGTCGCCTAACACCATCGTAAAACACATATTCACTAAAGTTATGAAGAAGCAACGAAAATATTTTTATAATTGGGGGTTTCCACAAAATGAGGAACTATATTAAAGCGTCGCTTCATATGGACGGTTGAGAACCTCTGGTCTAAAGTATTATTTAAACGGACAGTTGTTATCGTCTTAAATCAACTGTCCACATATTTTAGGCGCACATTTAAATGGGCGGATTAGGAATCATCTTCATCATCATGTGCCCTGCCAACTGGCGTAGGCGCTCATGCGTATCCACATATCACGATCCCTGGTTGACTGGAACAGCTCTCTTGATGATTTCTCCATGCCGTCGTTTTAGCTCATCCAGCATCCCCTCTCTTGGTCTGCCTCTACCCCTTTTTCCACTGATCTTTCCATGTATCATGATGCTCTCCATTGTCTCTCTTCTCATTATGTGGTCAAAGAACAGTGTTTGTCTCTTTCTTATTGTTGTATATTGAAATCTACTTTCATTAGCCTCTTTCAAGCAATCGTTGTTAGTTATTCTGGCCGTCCAAGGTATTCGTAACATTCGTCTCAGAAACCACATCTCTGTTGCTTCCAAATTCTTCTTAATTTGTTCAGTGACATTCCAAGATTCGCTGCCATACAGAAGAAAAGGTTTTATGTAACATTTTAGCACCCTCTTTCTGTCATTAAATGAGAGCGATTTATTGCATGAGATATTTTTCTTTTTCTGAAATGCAGCTTTCGCTTGACCTATTCTGTTTTTAATCTCTGTCAAACATTTTCCATCTGATGATATGATTGTTCCAAGATATTTAAATGTATTGACTTAGTTAAGTATTTTTCCCTCAACTGAGATATCACAACGTGGAATTATCTTCTTCTCTGAAATAATCATTACTTCACTTTTCTTAATATTTAATGTAAGTCATTTTTTAGGGATTAAGAATACATTAAACAATTATATAAACAATTGGTGCTGGACGTTTGAACATTCAGGGTTGACACATTTGGTCTTTGGTGATAGCTCATGTCTGTGAAGTAAATTCTCACCTACTGTTTGGTACTGATAAAGTTAAAGAAAAGAAGTACGTACCAGCGGACTCGATATAAGTATTAAATTGACTGTATAATCAAACCAGAATTTGAACCTGTGAGTTTTAGCGCAGGCCTAAGTAAGTAAATAAATTTTAGCCCACCAGGCCATCACACAGAGCGATAAACACCCGACATGACCCAGAGTGCCACAATGCGGATGAGGTTTACCCGTGGAGAGTTCCCAGAAACCCCCTTCAACCGTTAGGTCATATTTATGGCACGGCTATATTTAGGACCCCCGGCAAAAGCCAGGGTAGGGCTTCAAATAACGAAAAATTGCATCCAACATGGGGACGGTTGATTTTTTATTTAGCAGGCCTAGAGAAAACATTTGAAAGGTTGTGCTCACCCCCCCCCCCCCCCCCTTTTCCGCATAACATAGTTTCTAAGCGAAAGACTGGCAGGGGGCATTAAAGGGTATATTCATAGTTTAAGAGCATAATAATATTTAATAATGTAAATTTTGAAGTAATATAATATAATAATATAATTGAAATAAATATGACACACATAACCAAATACTTTTGAAGAATATATATGGTCGAAAGAACGCCCGCTAGCCCCCTCAAAAATTCTTGGGATAGGAACTTAAGGGGCCTGCGAGCCCAGGTTCTAATGTCCTCCCCCCCACCACCCACCCCCAATGCCATATTAACAATTTTATAGGCAAAAGTTTAGAGGAAAGATAGCTCAAGTTTAAGAGCATAATAATACTAATCTGCTGAATGGAGAAAAACCTTAATTAAATACTTTAAATAACATGAAATGCACAAACCAATATCTTTTTAATAAGTTTATATATTTAAAAAAAAAAATATATATATATATATATATATATATATATATATATATATATATATATATATATATATGTGTGTGTGTGTGTGTGTGTGTGTGTGTGTGTATCAAAACAATAAGAACAATTAAAAAAACAGTTTAGCGCCTTAGAGATGTGACTGTCTGTATAATTTGTCTGTCTGTCGGTCTGTATAATTTGTCTGTCTGTCGGTCTGTATAATTTGTCTGTCTGTCGGTCTGTATAATTTGTCGGTCTGTATAATTTGTCTGTCTGTCGGTCTGTATAATTTGTCTGTCTGTCGGTCTGTATAATTTGTCTGTCGGTCTGTATAATTTTGTCTGTCTGTCGGTCTGTATAATTTGTCTGTCTGTCGGTCTGTATAATTTGTCTGTCTGTCGGTCTGTATAATTTGTCTGTCTGTCGGTCTGTATAATTTGTCTGTCTGTCGGTCTGTATAATTTGTCTGTCTGTCGGTCTGTATAGTCTACCTGTCTGCATGTTCTCCTGTGTTCAT